AAATCATCTTTCTTTCCCATTCTGACATTCAGTTTGGAGTTCAGGAGATTGTCTTGACCAGGACCACACCCCTAAATGCATTGAAGCAACTGTCATGTGATTGGTTGATTAGATAATTGCATTAATGAGAAATTGAACAGGTGTTCCTAATAATCCTTTAGGTGAGTGTATGTGTAGTATATTAAGCGTTCCAAGGCAGTAGTTAAACATTACAATCATATTTGACTCAACAGTGTTATAAGTGTCATTATTAATTACTGATTGAATTTATATTGGAGTTGCATATATTGGATTTGCATAATAATTTTCTCCCACAAAGGAACTCTACGAACTTATCGAGGTCAGGGCAGGTTCTTCTGAGCATTGGAAAAACCTGACCCCTGACAACTATCAATATGTATAAAATGGAGTACATGCACACTTTATAAGACATGCCTGCCTCATTTGGTTTCAGAGCTATTAACCCCTTAGTGTGTTGCCCCATTGCACTTTAAATGGATGCAATATAATGATTAATATATACAGACAAAATAATCTGAAAATCCAAGGGGTGTGCATTGTTCCCTGTAGTCCACTGATAAAAGCACTTCACTTGATGTGCCTGTCTTGTCTAGTTTTAAAGTTATTAACCCATTCATGTATTGTCCCATTGCACATTATACGGATACCTTCGAACATTCAAAAATTAATAAAAATTCGTACGTAATTAAAGCATGAAATGACATTATGGTAGTGATTCGTTCAGGGTTGAGACTGTCCGAGCTGGTGCATGAAGGGGCATCATTTTATGTCCCAGCCCAGTGCTGCACCGTCCTGTCCTGTAATGCCCTTTACTGTCCTCCTCTCCCCTATCCTGTCCTGTTCCGTCCTGTCTTGCCCCATACCGGAGCTGCGCCGTGTCGTCACTTGCAGGCGATGTCAGCCCCTTATTACCGCGGACCGGCCATCCTGCGCACAGTCCCTCGCCGAAATGCTCGCAGCCCGGGTGCCCGGCGCAGTTCGCTCCGCCTTCCATATCCATAAGCGTCCTCATCACTCAGTCGGCATTATCGGAGCGCCGTTTTCCAAAGGGCAGGTGAGTCCATGCTGACATTTTTATCCCAATTAATAACAGGCTAATAATGTCCTTTAAGTATTTCACCAAAGTCCCGAACTCGATACTCGTTTTACAGAGCAAATGCCAGCACGTTATTTTGTGTTTTTACGTAAAATATTTAAGTAGCCTATATCTCACGGCAGCGAAAGGATGGTGTCGAAAAAGGACCTGATCTCATTCGAAATGCGGGACTGGTGGAGAAGCTTAAAGCGCAAGGTAAAGACCGGACCCCGGGTTATTTATAGCTATAACTTATGTTGATCTTTTTTCTGTTTTTTTTTTATAATCGAGTCAATATTTTCTTTATGTTGTTTTAATAGTGTTCCGTTAGGATTAAGGCTTAGCCTACTGTAACTAACCAGCTAAATATTGCATAAACAGTTCTGTCATCTTAATTTTCTACCCTGTCTGTTTCAACCATGGAAATAAGTTGTGCTAAATATTGTACTAAATTGGATATTAATTTTTGTTCCAGTTGAATCTGTAGTAATAATAGTAGTAATGGAGTTAATCAGTCAGATTCCTAAACCACCTTTTGGGTATTGATTGATTAAAACGTAAACCATTATAAGAAACCAAACGTATCCTCAGCCTGGATACAGATTATTATTTTAAGGTTGATACTAAACATTAACTATCCTAGTATCGTTATTCCGCTTGGATTTTCCGGACTTTCAGAAAACTATAGTTGTTATAAGATTGGCTAGTCTTTAGTGATATATTGTTACATTTGCCGAAATTGAAGCTGTCACCGAATATATGCTTGTGTCTGTAAATTAATTTCGTTCCGGCGTCTAGTAAATTGTGCCATGACCCAGTTGAACTCGTTCCAGAGCTGTGCAGTAGTAATGCTATAGTTAAGATGTCTTATTTTGTGACAATGCACTTGTAACATCTTCCTGGTGGCGTAGGAAATGAATGCAGAACGGAGCGTCTCGTTAACCGTCTGCTGAAAGGTTGAGGTTGTATTTGATATGTTTTGCAAAATACACCGTGCCACATTTCAGTGTCCAGTGAAGTGGTTTGTACTGTGGTAAACACAGTAAGGAACATTACATTCATATTTGCAAAAAGGAATATTTAAGGGAAATGGATACTTGAGAGGGCAGCTCGGATAGGGATGGTACCTGCATGGGTCTCCACCAGCTCAGGCACCCTTGCTGCAATCCTACTTAGAATAAAGTTGGGTAACTTTGATTGCACAGTATTGTTATGCTAGTAAATATGGCCTAACACCCATGTGTCTTTTCGTAAATCAGGCCTAATTTTGTTCAGACATCAAATAAGTTGTGCCACAGTTTTTACACCGGTGTTGTTAAAATCGTGCACACAAAAATTACATCACAGTTTCTATGCTCGACTTTTAGCAAGATTTTGTTATCTTCCACTAAACAAATGTGCACCCAGTGAAAGTGGAGTGTGCTTTATTCACAGCGTACACTGGATGTGATCGGTGCAGTCTGTGTCAGAAACTCCCCCCTGACACCAGAGGCCCTGTGCTGGTCTTTACTCGGTGGCTGTACGGAGATATTTTGGACGTCTCTGAGAAGCCTCAAGCATTACACTGGCACAGGATCAAAAAACACTGTCAGGCTGGATTTTGTCCGGCTTTACTTTGAATTATAACAGCCAACTGACAGAGGCCTTTTCTCTTTCAAAATAGCACTTCTCTGAAAGACATTAGTTCCTAACAAGCATCCTTTCATCAATGTTTCTTTTCCTTATGCTCCGACTTCAGGCCTTAGTGTAATTTGGCAAAGCATAACTGGTTTAATTGTGCTGAATGCTCAAACACAGCCCCAGAGCGCCCCTCATGAAATGCCATAAAGTTACTCAGTCTCAGTCTCAGGACTAACGACCACAACTGTTGATTTGCTCGGTTCCTCACCCCTTGATGAAACATCAAGAGTAGTTTTGTATTAAATAAATTAAGGAATTAACAGTTTATTCACTGAATATTTAAAACTACTTGTGTCAAACCTTATCAGTCATGGACACATAGCACAGAAAATGAGGAGATAGGTGCAGGATGGAATGTTCTAGACATCAGGAGTGAAAATTGCCATGGAATTTTTGGCACTAGACCTACAGTGTTGCTGGTATTACCGGTGTTGCTTGTAAACATCACCTTTGGATAACCTTCAGGTCTAAAGTCTTCGTTTCAAAGAAGTTTCTCACGTGCTGCTGTATGACAGAGTCACAAAGTCTTTAAATACTTTAATACTGGGAATTTATTTTAGAAACGGCCACAGTTCAGACAACTAAAACATGCTAATTTTTCTCAATTCATTAGATGTGACTGACAAAGCGATAATGTATATGACTTGCTGTAAGATTCGTCAGTTTTTTTCTTTTACAGTGAACGAACAACATGGTCAGAGGGTACATGTACTTAAAATAAATTGTTGCACTGCTCAGTGGAAAACTATGTTCACCTAATGACACATATGAAACGGTAAGCATGTTATATAAGGGTTGCCACAATATGCACTTTACACGGTCCAGTGTATTAGGAGTACTTTTCTTGTTGCATGACAGGCCTTGTGCTGTCGTCAGGCATATGCAGCGACAGAAAGATCAGTGGGTGTGGGAGCTGAGAGCCAATCAGGTGACAAGTTCCGGTTTTATTCACGAGTCGTGACTCTGATTGGCTGAATCCAGTGACCTTGTGCCACCCACATATATGTCAGGACAATGGCAGCTTGTCAAGCATGTCAGCAATGTTTCAATTGATCGGCAGAGTACGGGAAAACAGGACTCTTGGTTATACATTAATCCATGCTATGAGAAACATTATAGCAAGTTTATTTTTCAGGACAGTTCATAAAGGACCTCAGCTTTGTTACCTTGTAACATGGCGTAAGTTAATTCCCCTCTGGCTGTTGTCCGTACAGGCTGCACTGTTAGAGACTATGGGAATCTGAAGTTCGAGGACCCAGCAGATGACCATCCTGTTGGTAAGGTGCAGAGGCCTCGGACTGTGGGCCTCGCCAACGAGCAGCTAGCTAAGGCTATTAACACCATCAAGAAAGATGGTCACACCAGCCTGATGCTAGGGGGAGATCACAGGTAAGCCCGTTCCTGAACCGACCGGCTGGCATCGCAGAGCTGTCGTCAGCTTCAGCTTGGGCGTGTGGCGGGTCTCTCCTAGCTTGGCGATCGGCTCGATCCACGGACACGCAGCCTCGCAGAAGGACCTGCGGGTGGTTTGGGTGGACGCCCATGCCGACATCAACACACCTCTCAGCAGTTATACGGGCAACATCCATGGGCAACCTCTGTCCTACCTGATCAAGGAGCTCCGCCCTAAGGTGACATCGCGCAGCCTGATTCTCTGATGTCTAATCTCGCTGTAGGGGACAATGAAGGTCCCATAGGCAGCAATGGGTTGCTTAGTAACCTCTGCATACATCTCCAATGCTCTAGTGCTCGACGTGAGACATTAGGATCGAGTGTTGCCAGGTTGTTCTTTTTTGTAGACAAACGGATCAGTGTTGCATATCCAGATTGTAATTATAGTTTTATGCGCCCCGGAGCAGATGACAGCCTTGCCTGGCTTCTCATGGGTCACACCCTGTCTGTCGGCTGCGGACGTCGTCTTCATCGGCTTAAGGGACGTGGATCCTGCGGAGCGGTGAGGTCATAAACGCGACATCACAATCAGCTGGGCCTTCGCTCTACAGCGATCCAGCGTGCCTAAGGCAAAAATATGGCCACGAGTAATACAAGTATTGTCTTATTGGAGCCCCACGATAATTCAGCTGTCAAAGGCAAATCATGTGAAATGCACTCTAGTTGTAAAAAGGGGATTTCTTCTAGCAAAAATTTTGGAAATACCTGAGAAAGCTCATATAGCTTGAGCAGCAATGCATTTCTCATATAGCTCTGTCCCCTGACATATCCAGGCTTAGAGCAGTGTTTCTCAATCCAGTCCACGGGGACCCCCAGACAGTGCATGTTTTTGCTCCCTCCCAGCTCCCAGTAGCACCGTCTGGCAAGGAGCCGGAAGGGAGCAAAAACATGCACTGTCTGGGGATCCCTGAGGACCAAGCTGGGAAACACTGGTATAGAGTATATTCTCAATGCCTGCATGTGGCATGTTCCTGTCTGTCTGCAGCTATATCCTGAAATTGGTGGGGATCAAAGCTTTCTCTATGACTGAGGTCGACCGCCTTGGAATAGCAAAGGTGATGGAGGAAACGTGTGACCACATATTTTCAAGGTTAGCTATCTATGAAATCCATACAGTTGGGATCCGAGTATCTCAGTGTTCCTAGAACTTACTCCTAGAAGCTGGTATTGTGTAATATTATGCATCTATTTGTGTACCTAAAGAAATACTTGATTAAAAGGTTTGACTCGCAGTTCAACTGCCGTAAGGCGAGATAACAGTCATTCCATTCCCAAAAGAGCCGCGCCAACTACACCGTCAAATAACATTCTAGATTTAACCTGTGGTCTCAGCTGAAGGGACAGACTGTTCTAGAGTAACTCTACACATACATGCTACAGAAATGATATACTACAGACAATGGGCATTTGGAAAACCTGGGAGTGCCATGCCGACTGTTGTCTGTGAAACCAGGGGGAAGAAACCTGTGCACCTGAGCTACGACATTGATGCCCTCGACCCCTCTGTGGCGCCTGCAACGGGCACGCCGGTGGTGGGAGGACTGACTTACAGAGAGGGCATTTACATAACAGAGCGCCTATGTCAAACAGGTAGGAGATTCATGCCAAGTAGCATATAGTGAAGAGTGAGCAGGACACACACCTAAGGTCAGCCTGAAGCGTTCATCTTGTGCCTGATTAAAACTCCCGTTCTTCTTCAGATCTGCTTTCGGCAGTGGATTTGGTGGAAGTGAACCCCAAGCAGGGTAAAACGGAGAGCGAGGTCAGCTCCACCGTCAACTCGGCCGTGGACGTTATCCTGGGCTGTTTCGGTCGGGTCCGTGAGGGATCTTTCCCCGCAGGTTATACACTGCCTCAACCTTGAACATGCCGGTCATTCTTCATACCCCAAAGAGTCACTCAACAGTCGGGTTTCCCTTCTAAAGTGACTGCTTTTGTACTGGACTTCACACGTTGCCTTACTGGATTTATCCACCAAGTTAATATTTTTTTAGATTAAAATATGTTTTAAAGTATTCTGAGTGCACCTCGATGACCTCTAAAGTGTGGTTCCATAGGACATTCAGATCGGAAAACAGGCACACTTACTGTATTCGAACAACCCTTATTAGAATATGCTACTCTACAATGTTGCATCCAGGACTTCCACTCACCCATATATACGTGTGTCTGTCTCTCAAGGAGAACAAGACGGTATATGTGAATGCCAAAGGATTCCTATGTACTTGCACAAATGACAAATAAAGTAGTATCTTGACAGTGGCGGTCACCAGGTGAAGGAGTTGTACACAGGTCCTTGGTCTTTACTGGTTACTAAAACACCAAATTTTACAATGAGCAACAGACTTGTAACAGGTTGGTGACCCAGTTCTCGAGGTTTGGGCCCATTTGGTATGTTGATTCAGGACCTGAACTTCAGTGCTAAGTGTACTTTGGAAAACGGTAGTCATGAATCCTGAGAGTTGCTCTCTTGAGCAAAGTACTGGAACTGCATTATTACTTGTCAAGCTGGATAAAAAGTAAAACTTTTCTTTGAGCTTCCACACTTCCAGCTGCCCAAACATGGGGAATATTCACATAACTGCCCAGCCAACGTTCACTCGTATCATATATCGGTCAAGCGGATCATCGGGTCAATTGTCTTCTCCATCAGTCTTCTGAACTGTCAGGTCATCAATCCGAACTAATCCTGCGGTCGGCCATCTTGACGGCACATTGATGGTTACAACTCAACAGACTTGAGTTTTTCAAAGATCTCAATGGTTTCATTGTCAGATCATATGAAGCGATACTCAGACAATGTATTGTGAATGTGCCAAAAAAAAGAAAAACTGAGGAAAAATGATCAACCGAGGCATCAGTGACATAAAATTTATTTCTGTAGAAAACATTTGTTTCACTCGTACAAAACATCCCCACACCTTTTTACAGGACTACCTTTCAGAGGAGGTAAATGCCTTCTTTTCTCCATAGAAGTCCCAGGGTACCATAAGGTTGGAGTGAATGCAGGATATGTGGAGGAGTCATCCATTAAAACATCCAGTCGTACTTTTGTCTCTTCCCTGTTATAAAATTCTCCACAGTTTTGAGATCTCACAACCTAAGTGGTGAGCCATTCCCTGAAAGGCCTCCCAACTCAAAATCCGGTTGGCCAATGAGAAACAGCCTTGAGTGTTCATTGGATTATTTTCTGGCCTGGGCCATAGGGAGTGATCACGCAGGGGTGTTCTGTAAATGTGGCTTTAAAATTGTCAGCATTTTCCCACGTAGCAGGCCTAGCATTTGTCCCAGAGTGAATGGACACAGTGAGAAAGTATTAACCAGTAGTGCAAGGGTGGGGATACACAGGATTAACAGTTTGGGGGCTAATCCAGAAAGATCCAGAAGATAACCTGACACAGCACTTAGTCATAGCAACCATGCATCATAATTGTTGTCAGTAAGCCTGACCTTCTAGCAGCTTCTCTACAGCCAACTGGCTTCAAGCTCCAGTAACATGAGTCACCAAAACAAATGCTGCACAAAGTTATGGTGGGAGGGGATGGGAAGAGAGAATCCTTCCCATCCATGGGAGCAGACATGGAGTGATGAGAAGAGAGCTGGAGTGAAGCAGGGGATTCTGGGAAAACCCCATGAGTAATGCCAATAGAGTCCAGTGCTAAATGTGGGTGAGCTGGCGCTCCCAGCTCAGTGCCACGGAGCTCGGACATGATGAGGGACAGACGTCGACACAGATGGCAGGCGTGAAAACCACCCCCGCAGCGCGATTTAGGAACGGAGGTGCGTCACAGACCTGTGAGGGGTGTGTGGAGGTGTGCTGGCAGAAATGTGCACTTCACAGCTCGATATCTGTATGGTTGAGGGCAAAGGAGTCCTGGGGGCTTGTGGCATCAGTCTGCCTCATCGAGGCCACATGGTCGCCTGAACTCCTGACCTCGCTCGTGGATCCACTTGTTAGACACTGTAGAGGAACAGGGGGCAGGGCAAAAGGGGGGGGGTTCAGCTCCAGATTGCAGGGCTATTAACTGGGGGGGGCATTCTCACCAACTCGTAATATTGTTATTCTCTCACTTTTAAAATGAGTTTTTAGACTGACTCAAATTATACTTCGTGTTCTGAACTGTCGATTTCGCCTCTGGGGAAGTTAATCAGCTTTATTATATTACCACTTGTTTTTGTAATAAAAGTATTTTATGAAATCCAGGGCAAAACTGAGAAAACAACACATATTGTATTATACAAGTTCATAGTCTCTTATGGGTTACATGCAATAAAGTTGAAAGATTTACATTTTATCTAGTTTTGCGTTTCACTTCCTTAAAACTGTTATGGAATGGTAGCCACATACTGTAGTAAAATTACTTAGGCAGTAACTAAAATCACGAGTTTAAACCCCCCTGAAAATCTGCTTCTGCCCCCCAGTCGATGAAATCGACCAAGACAGACCCCGCCCCCCCCCCCGCGACCCCACTGTCAGCAAAATCTGCTCCCAAAATTTATTTCTTGCTACCACAGCCCTGCATCGGAGCACAATTACAGCATTTTAATATACCTAAAAAGTATATTGCACAAAAGAACAGACACTGTATTTCATAGTTTTCTTTTCATTTGGAGATTGTGAGAATGAGCCGTGCATGAGGTTAGAAAAGGGCCAATGGGGAGCGGAGGAGAAGCCGCTGGACTCACCCCACTTACTGCCCACCAGGACTGGGCAGGCGGCGTGCCGCGTGCTGTAGTCTCCCTCCCCGCTGGCGAACAGGTTGTACCAGAAGACGGCGGTGCCCTGCGGCGGACAGTGCGGGGTTCACTGCAAAGCCAGTTCACGCACGCATACGGCGGCGGTATCCCGGACGCTTGCTGCTCCGCGTGACGAGCCGTACCTTTTTGGGCCACACTGCAGCGCCTACTTCCGGGAACACTGTGGCGCCCCCTGCCTTCACGTCGCTCATCTGCAATTAATACAATTACGGAATGCATTCAACGTACGACTAAAAACCGCACTGCGTGACGGGGTGACTCACTGGCTTAGGCATCTGTGCCCATGTTAGATCCCTCTGGATTAGAGGGAAATGATTCTGCTGGTACTTTGTTCTCATAGTGCAAGATTAAAACAACTAAACCGAGCTTAAATATCAAATGCAATATAAAGAGTAAATCTGACGTGGAAGTGTGCATGTGCAAAAAGGTGTAAACAGGATATCGTATACAGCGCGTGCCAAATAGGATGGGATGAGACAATTATGATGCATGGTTGCTATGATGTTATATAAATATTAATGAGACCAGAATCCAATGGTTTTGGGAAAAGCAGCGAGAGTCCAGTGCTTCTAGTACTTTTGCGGAGGTCTGCTTCTGACCAAGTAAGATTTTTGCGACACAAACGAGCACAAACGCAGCACTAACGAACGAGCCCGGTTTCACATTTGAATGCCTTTGTAGGGGGGCTGGCTGAACTTTCGACCTTTACAAAAAACCTTTAATATCTCATTAAGTAAAAGAGATAGAACACTGATTTGTGTGGCACAAACAAGCAGTTCGTTTGTGCTCGTTTGTGCCGCAAAAATCACTGTCCTACCTTTTATAGTTTTAAATAAATACACTTAAAATATATGCTTTAATAAACTAAAAGTGGGCCAATTTAGTCGCAAGAAGTATACTTAATAAAATGAACTTTAAGTATACTTTTTTTTGGTAGGGAAAGGCCCTTAACCCTGTCTACTGGAGGCCAGCTGACCCCCCTTTCTGACCTTAGCCCCTGTCACTTTGGATGAAGGCATATGCCAAACAAATGCATGCCAAACAAATGTGACTTAAACAAGCGTATGCCGAACAAATGAATGCCAAACAAATGTGACTTAAACAAGCGTATGCCGAAATGCATGTCAAACAAATGTGACTTAAACAAGCGTATGCCGAACAAATGAATGCCAAACAAATGTGACTTAAACAAGCGTATGCCAAACAATTGCATGCCAAACAAATGTGACTTAAAGAAGCGTATGCCGAAATGCATGTCAAACAAATGTGACTTAAACAAGCGTATGCCGAACAAATGAATGCCAAACAAATGTGACTTAAAGAAGCGTATGCCGAAATGCATGTCAAACAAATGTGACTTAAACAAGCGTATGCTGAACAAATGTGACGTTAACAGATTCCTGTCTGAAAAAACTGCTGAATGCAGAAACAGGAGTGATGGAAAAGAGGAGCAGGGAGGGGTAAATAAGGGCATAAGGGCGGAGACAGGATGGGGTGTAGAGCCAGAGATCCATGGCACACACACGGGACACTCACATAAAAGAGCCAGGTCGCGATCCGGTTCCCGGTGCCCAACTCCTTGAAGGCATCTGGTTCATCTTTCTGCGGGGGGTCAGGTAACAGAACCGTCAGAGCCGCCCAACTACTTGTCTGGCGCCTGTTTCCATGACAACCTCCCCCACACCGCACCACCAGGGTTGGCTCAGTGACGCCCATACAAAGTGTGACCACGCTAGCGGCGATCAAGCACTGACGTGTCACATTTAGCGACTAGAGACCCGAGGACGGCTTCACTCACCCGTCCGAAATCGAAGTGCGGCTCATACTGCCCCCCCATTCCGTAGTTCGCCACCTGGTGGGAGGGGATGAAAGGGTGCGATGATGTTAACATCATGGTTAGTTGTATTTTTGAATGAGAAGCTTGACGGGAACTGCTCTGGGATGCCGGACGTGTGCAAGGTGCTTCAGCAGCTAAAGAACACATGAGGGCACCCAGGGGTAAGAGGCACAGAAAGTCCCAAAAGCCGGCACCCGACGACAGAGGCTGCCTGACGTCAGCTTCCCATGATGCTCAGCAGTCTGTCCCCCAGACCCCGAAGGCGCACGCAGAACGTCACCTGGAGCTCCTCCGCCGTCTTGACGTCCAGGCCGGTGAGATCCTCGATGCGCTGGTTGATCTTATCCACCACGGGGTGCTCATGCGCAGCCAGCCAAGCACTGGGATAACACGACACAAAGACGAATGATACGACAGCAACCACACGCCCTCTCATCCGGGCAGACCACAAACTCATACTCAAGGTCCACCCTCAACTCTAGAGATACCCATCTCCCATCATCTACATGAAGAGCAATATTCATTCAAACACTATTTTTTGTATTATAAACATAATGCTATGATGTGTATTGATAAATAGCATTAAGCTCTATCTAAAGAAATGCTTATACAATTCTAAATCTATAGCAATGCTTATACATTTGAAAGTGAATGATTATATAATTGATCTAAATTGACATTACTTTTGTTCATTTTTAATAATGGGTCATTTTGCTATCCTCTCACCCTCTGGATAAGGACAGGCCTGCTAATTTATCCCATCACTGATCAGCATGCAGCAGATGGAACAGAACTTGGCACCAATTGGCAGAGAAGCACTCATCTGCATACTGTATAAGGTCCCGTCACTCGGAAGTCACTGCCACCCCCAACCTTCCCGTAACCAGATGGCGACCAAAGGTTCATATGTAAATATGGCCATTTGCATTATTTTAGTGAAAAATGTATGAGTGCTATGGGAGTATCTTTGGATTTAATCATCCTCCCAGAAATGGTTCAATGCTATTAGAGGCAAATGTCACAAGATGAAAATGGCTTATTACTCGTTCTCACTGCAATGCATTCATTTAACCAAAAAGAGGGACACGGGTATTGAAATGATAAAATTCCTTTTTCTAACATAATTAGCATAAGAAATAATGATGATACTATCAACTTATTAGTCTATGGACAGATCAAAGGTACAAAGCACTGATGCCCCCCCCCCCTCTTCAAGGTCTTACAGGAGCTTATTTAACACTTTATCGCATTCAACATTGTCATGAATGTTCATATCAATCCTAGACAATCAAGCACACAAATTAAGTTACACATGATGTGAAAACGGTGAAAGTATCATCAAAAAAAATTAAATTAAAAATCAATGAAACACAATAGTTGTCATCAGGCAGTCAGCATGGTTAGTAAGAGCATGTCTTGAATATGAAGCGGTTAGTGGAAAGTGGAGGAGGAATTAAAGGTTGTGGCCCCACAGAATCTCCAGTCGGTTTTGGGCGGGTTCATCTCTGGTTGAAGCTGGCCGTTTCTGCGTGAGGCTCGTATACCACCCCCAGGAATGACCTCATGTTTCCACCTCTCTGATGGAAGTTCATTCAGGGTTACTGGGGCAGTACCTTGTGGTCACAAACAACAGTGCGCTTGTTGCCACGGCGACGGGCCAGGAGATGGCAGGTGGGCTAATGGTCATCTCCAGCCGTCTGTCGTCTTACCCTCTTGTAGAGAAATTCTGGTCTGTCACTCAACTCGAAAGGGAATTCATTTAAATTATAACTTTACGATACCGCCGCTTTCATTATGAACATTTATAGTACTTTATCATCTTTAATACATATGCCATATATTTCTGGTTGTTGTATTAAGTAAACCACACAACGTTCTTGACAGTTGGTCTCACAGTGAACAGAAGGTTCAATTCGAAGGAAAAATGTATGTTTTGTGACACCACTAATCTTACACCATGAGGAGGTGGACAGGTATGTAGGTCGGTGTAGGTCAGTACTCCTCCACCTGTGGAGGCTGTTCTCTGCTCTGAAGCTTTTAGGGAAAGTTACTGTGACTCTCCATCTTTCGCCGGCAAAGTTATATCAGGTCTTGAACACCCCTCCTTGTGGAGTGGGGGGGACACTACACCCACACTCCAAAGAGAAAGGGCACACACACAGCTGAAGAATCTGACGGCGGTGCATGCAGGCTGGAGTTTGGGTGCTGATGGAGGCGTTTTTTAAATCTGTGAGCCCATCATAGGGTAGTTAATCAACATAGAGGGTCATAAACAGCTCTGTTCTAGAATGTTCTAGGGGCTGCAGGCTTGCTCCAGAACCAGAAATCTTTAATATCCTCCCGGTAATGCCAATATTTTTTAAAAAAAATATTCTGGCTTTCTTCACTTTCTTAAAACGTGACTGTGGCATTTGCCTTTCTGAAACATTTTTTTTGACTGTCTGATTTAACGTGTGTTGTTTTAACGAGTTTCACCTGCAGGGGGAGTGCTGCGACCAGAGACAAAGGATCCCTAGATGTGTCACTGCATGACAGCAGATTCTGACTGACAGACAAGCATGCGGTCTCTTCAGCTTCTGGCAATGTTACATAGGGGAAAAATCCCCCCCCACAAGTCTTGGGACCTAAAGCTCGATGGGCGGAGGAAGGCGAATCGCGCTCTTCACGACAAATGTGGCATCATTCGAAGAAACCTGCAGCTCACACTGGGACAAGAAGTGGGGGGCTGGCGGCACGCATCTCATAACCTGGGGGGCAGACTAATGAGAAGTAGTTTAATTGGGCATTCCAGTTTGAATAGAAACAAACAAGGAGTGAGAGATGGAGAAGATTCACTATAGTTGCAAGTGGATAAGCTAACAATGGGGCTAGGGTAACATGCTAACGGATATTAGCTAGGAGACAGATGTATTGTAAGATAGATTTTCTTCTATTTAAGGAGTCTAATCACAGCTTTAACAAACAACTAACGATTCTGGTCCATTTGTACCAGTTTCGTCCGACTGAGGACATCAGTGATGCTATTAGCATATTGACGGCGTGCATTGTGGTGGGACCACATTTACATGGGGGGTTGCTGTTGAGCAAGGTTAGAGTACTCGGGAAGGAGACCTTGTTTTCCATGGTTACTTTAGGAGAGCTGCTTAAGCTCTAAGCGGGCTGAAGGTCAGCCTGGCTGGAGAGAAGTTGCAGTATGGTTAAGCCTTGCTGGTGTTGTAATGCCCATAGAATGGTTGGTGAAGAGGGGCAGAAAGTTCAAGAACTGGTTATGACCACTTGGGGCCATAACCAGTGTCCAAGGGGCAGACGGTGGAGAGTGAGTAAAGCCCAGCTTTGACCATTGACCCCTTACCTCTTGGAGACTCTGTACTGGGCCGTGGTGAGTTTCCCAGTTTGGGGATCATGCACGGTGGCGCGCCTTAGCTACCTCCCGGGGGGGGGGGGGGGGGCACGGCAGAAAGACAGAGAGAGAGAGACAGGGCGTCACTGGCATGAGGGGGGTGAGGTGGATCCTAGGCCATATCTCGACCCTTTTCCAACGCGAGGCGTCAGCCTGGACAGCATCAGCCCAGAAATGTCGCCAATCCCACTTTGCCAAAATAAGTTACATCACTGCTGTTGTCAGGCCAAAGGCATTATACGCGGTCATTTTGGGGAAAGTACCTTTTCTTCCATCTTAGCACTCAACACAGCATTGCTAATCCTTAGCATGAGCAAGCAAACAGCCTTTTATCTGCTAGCGGTTTTTGCTGGCATCTCTTAAAACAGCACCGTTTTATTGGACTTCACTGTAGCATACGTTTGATCTTCAATTTCATGGATGTGACACCAGAACCAAAAATATATAATTTTGGTCAGCACTTATTGTAAAATTCTCCCTTGGCCAGCGAAGGACCCAAAAAGTGTTTTAAGGAAGGAGATGCCTCGAGGTGGCCCTCTTTGGCCTTTAAGTGTACCAGGAAACTGTTGGGTGCTCATGCTGGACAGTTCTGTCCCAAGATCCTGTGGAAGAGAGGCCAGTATGGTGCTGGGGTGGGTTAGGAAGCAGGCTGTGTGGGGCCTATAGCAAGCCTGCCCCCTGCACCTGTGAGCCTTACCTCTTGCTGATCCTGTAGGGGGCGGTCTCGAGCACACCAGTGATGGGGTTGGAGATGGTGGCCCGACGCAGCTGTGAAGCCAACCGGCCGAGAGGAGAGGGGGTTACACAGCACTCACACCAAGGCTGCGGAAACCTCACCTCAACCTCCTTCGAGGGACCCAACAAGACCCCCCCAACCATGACCTTGACCTCCAGCAGTAAACCTTAATCTCCACAGTACCAAACCATCTGAAGGCCACATGAGCCCCACTGTCAAACCTCAACACTGCACTATATGATGTCTTTAGCTTCAAGGTCATGCAAGCGGCCGACCTCCTACAATATTGCCAGCCAAGTCTTATTTTTGTAAAAGGTTCTTACGTTGATCCCCTCTTAAGTGCCATGATTCTTAAAGGTCAAGAGTCTTGTTTCAAGCCAACTAAATTCAATTAAGCGTCACTGCCAAGTCCTTGGACACCGAAGGTGAATCCGAGCCAAAGATCCACTCAAATTGACATAATCAAAATTTACAAAACTTCCAAACCTGGTTTTGACTTAATGCAGATGAGTAATAAAAATTAAATAAGAATTAGGGTGACCAGATAATCCATGTCAGGGAGGAGACTTCGAGCCAGGACAGGATTTGTAATCATTCTGATACCAAAACTACAAACAACAAACGGTGCCACTTTACAAGAAGGCTACCCATATAAAGAGTTTATGAATGGGTTGTAATCTGGTTAATTAGGTTGTAACACTTTGTAAATTATTAATAGGCAATTTTAAACAAGTTATAACGTTATATAATTTTTATTAAAAGTGGCAAAAGGGGGCGTTATTGTATAGTGGTACCCAACAAACACAGGCACCTAGGTTGACCAACCCTATGACCATATGTAGGAATTAACTCAATCTGTCCTTCTATCTTTGTAATTTCTATACATTATTTGGTGTCCAATGGTAAAGTAGATTTTTCTTGGGAGTGCTGCTCCAAGCCAAGTAAACCGCTTTAAAACAAACTGGGGCTAAATCTACAAAGGACACAAGCAATTAGACAGCTAACTGCTCTGTACAAACCAGGAACACGTGGAGACTTTCCCCAGAGCCAAACTCACCCTGGGCTTGGCCAGCTCCTTGACCTTCTCGATCTCGCCGTCGGAGATGATGTCGTGGTAGCGGACAATGCGTGGGCGGTCCCATTCGTCCTCCTGCTTGACGGGGCCTAGCAGGTACCATGGGTGCTGGCCGTTGTCGAAATAGCGGCAGAATAGGCGGCTTTGCCTGCGAGGCGTCTGTGGGCAGTGGGGGGACAGTGGGGGGGAGGCAATGTGCGGGTTAGCAGGCAGCCATGTTCCCATGGCCAAGTAGCTGCTCCTACATCAATGGAAGCAGTAGACCACTGCCAGGGCACACGATTAGACCTGCCCTGGGCTGGCCCAGGCAACTAAGGCAAGTTCTTGCTAGAGGATTCCAGGATCTGGGCCAACATTGCCTTGAACACTGCAGACTATGGATCACCAGGAGTTCACGGGAGCAGGATCATGTGTGCACTTGGAATGCGAAGTCCCAGCCATTAATGTAGTCATAAAGAAAATCCAAACCAGGATTTTGTTTCAACCAACCAGCTGAGTACTCTGTGACTGTGATTCATTATACTCAACTGGTTGGCTGAAACAAAATCCTGATTTGGATTTTTACTTTCTGGACCTCTGCTGAAGTGTTACGTTATTAATATTCATTTGTGTTGACTTTTTCAAGAAGTAGCCCATCTCACCAGCTTGATTCCTTCTCCCCGGCACAGCTCCTCGTATTTGTGTCTCTCTGGCAGGTGATCCACGGCCTGCCTCCTCTTTACCCGGCCGCTGCTGTTCTTCTTCACTCCCGACTCTGCCTCAGCCTTCCGTTGCTTCGCCAACTGGTACTCAAAGTACTTTAGGTTGCCATTGGCTCGCTGGTGCTCTTGATCTTTAGGGGCAAGGCAAGACAAAGGGAGGATAAAAGCCACATACATTCCAGACCACAAGCTTTTTTAGGCTATGCGTCATCCTGCCACAAATTTTGTTCCAATGGTATAATAATAAAAAATTTCATGCCTAGTACTTATATCTCATGAAAGTGGTCAATGATCAAAGGTGTGTCTGACTAGAGTGCCTCCAGCCCACTGTACTTCTCCTTGATGAGTCAACTGTGGCTCTTCTGATTTTCCTGCAAGACTTCAAGGCATCCAGCTTGGTGAGATGGCCTTACCCAGCTCCAGAAGCCTCTTGGTGAGCTCCAAGGCTTTCTCAAGGTCCCCCTGCTGGTATACTGAGTAGCTGAGGTAGTCCAGCACTGAGACCTTGTCAATAGGAGACTCCTCTCCCTGGTCCAGCTGCTTTAGGGCCTGAAGCATCCACAGTTCAGTGTGGTAGTAGTCTGCTTCTGAGTAAGCAACCTTGCCTAGGTCGAAGCAGTCTTCCACTGTGAGGGTGGCCTTGCATGTCACACCTGCAGAATGGGCAGCATGAGTGGAGATGCGGGGGGAAAAAGGCACTGAAAGTCCTACGCATCCCTTCAAGCGGCCAGCCCACTCTCCACCCCCTGGCCTTTATGTTCTCTTCTAGCGCCCTCTCACCAGGCAGGTTCCCACGGGATATAGTCTCTGTTTCCAGATGGTAGGTGTCTTGTAGCCTCAACAAGGCCTTGGCTGCTCCTATCTCGTCCTCGTCATTGGGGAAGTGCTGCCTCTGGATGGTCAGGTTGGAGATAAACCCTGGAGAACGAAGGGTGTCTGTTTATAGCCCATAGCCATGACAGATGTTCCAACCAACACTGTAAACCAGGGTAGTTAATCCAAAACCCTTCAAGGACAAGAAGATCATGTTAGACTCAAGCCAGTATTCTTAACTACCCAAGGCTGTGAGCAAGCACTAAGACCAGGACAATAAATTAGCATATTAGCATGGTTAATGGAAGCCTTGGGAAGTCTCACAGCTAGACAAATACCGGTGCCCGGTATTGGTTGGATGGGCAGTGAAGCCATTCTAACCATCTGACATGTCCCTGAGCACCAGGTTCTCCAGCTCGCCCCACTCGGTGTTGAGTCTCTTCATCAGCTTGAAGGCATTGACGGGATGGCCCAGGAAGCCCTCGGGGTCCTGGGTGGCAGTGGCTGTCAAGCTCTCAAGCTTCATTGCCCAACTAGACACATACGGAACATTAGATTTTGCAAGTCCTTAAACACCACTGTAAAACGTAGATAGCTTAATGAATTATCAACTGGGTAGCTGGGTTTGGTGCTCATGAGATGCATCCAATGCACAGCAATAATCACTTTAGTAGAGCATGTGAAAGCAGGCGTTTGTGTGTCTGTGAGTATAACTTCTTCGTAGACCCTCACCGTTTGACCTGCTCAAGTTTGCTCTCCTCTGCCAGAATGTAATCCTTCAAGGCGGTGACCAGGTCCTTCTCTGTGTAGAGCAGATCAGTCATGTGACCTGGGAGGGGGGGGAAGATCACAGTCAGCATTCACTGCAGCTGTTGTGGGCACTAATTAGGAAGGCTGATAATTAGACTGGGATTTGTGGAGGACAAAAGAAGTAGCGCTTATATGCAGTATTACATACATTATAAGTATTTCCTCAGTAGAGTGACTTCGTTGTGTTCTGCGAAAAATTGTTCTGGGTCATATGGTGGAAATTTGGCCCTACTCAGCTCCGGACTTGACTGACCCCCTCCTTACCCAAGTGCTGAGTTGGGCCAAATTTACTATGTCAGCAATTTATGGACCATGGTTAACATATCCTGAGAGTCTTCAGCCTGCTGACTTGTATAAGAATGAGGAAGCATGTCTACGAAAACAAAAGTGACAAAGCATGACACTTCGGGGGGCGGGGGGGGGGGGTACAGGAATAGATGGTGTCCACACTCTCTCACTCTCCCTCTCACTGCTCGCTTACCGATCGATGTGAAGAAATCGTTAGCGGAGGATGTATACAGCAGGCAGCTGAGCACCAACAGACGGCAGAACGGCGGCTTCATTCTCAAAGCGAAGGTTCACCCCTGACTGCCTGGCAGATTGGAGAAGTGAAGTCGGTTACTGTTTTACCCTGAGCACGTCTAATACAGTCTTGCGAAATTGCTTGGGGGGCTGAGCTGGCGATGTAATCACGTCAAAAACATCAGTCAACGTGACCAGCTGCTACGGACGAGAGGCGGGTTAGGGTTACGGTGTATCGTGTAAAGGTGCGAATGCCTGTCAAAGTATGAGATTAGTGCACAGCCCCTGCTCCTACGAAAGCTCATGTCAATGGAAGACCAGCCCTTGTAAACTGAGACTCAAAGGTTAGGATCCCACATAAAATGAACCCCCCCCCATTCTCACTGAAGGTGGTAAATTCCACTAGAGCACTGAAGGGGGAGCACTGGTAGGCGACAAGCCTCATTCCCAGCCTGTCCACTGCAGTTACAGAACTCCAGTGCCACAGGCTACCAGATGACTCTACCAGGAGAAACCTCCTGCCCTTCCATATTTAGGGTTATTGGTGTCACCTGGACCCCCATTCTCACCCTGATACGCTAGAAACTGATCCGTGCAGATATACAAGATACACATCTGCTTCAATTTAAACATCAGGTGTCTGTTTCAATCAGAAAGCTACATCGATATCATGGACGAGCCAGAAAGCAGTGGCTCGGTGCCGGGAAAGTGGAGACATCGCAGTGCAGACACTGAGCCGGACCTGGCAGCGAGACACCGGCACACGGCCAAATACGGTAAGACCCCGTGGGAGAGAACCGTGGCACCGGGGTCTCCACACGGCCCCTCTCCTCCCTGCCCATGTTCAGCCCCTTTCCCTGCCTGCCGCCTGCCCCCTAATCTTCCGCCAAGTGCCGCCACAGCCCGAACATTCAGTCCTATTGTCTCGGCACTGACGCTACCGAAGGAAAGTCACACAGCTGTGACCTGAGGGGCAGGGGCATCTGCTGGCCGCCCCTAAGCCCTAGTTATCTCGCCGAGAAAGTTCAGGTCCAGAAAGTGAAAATCCAGACCAAGATTTTGTTCCAAGTGACCCGTTGAATATAAAATATCACAGTCACAAAGCACTCAACTGGTTGGTTGAAACAAAATCTTGGTCTTCTGGATTTGTACTTTTTTGCACCTGAACTTTCCACCTCGGCTCTCAAGATTCCCTCATATCACACTGAAGGTGTTGAAGCAGGGTTCTGATTGGAACCACTCCAGAAGGCTGCAGGCCCTCGAAGAAAAACCAGCATACGCCCTTGCCTTCTAAATGATTTACTGGAGAGCGGAGCTCTTTATCCACAGATTCCTTATTGCCATTGAGACACACACACACACACACACACACATATATATATATATAGGGGTGATATGTGACTACAGCCGCCATCCATGTGAGCAGAAGGTCGCCGGTTTGAGACTGTCCTGGGCATGACAGTCATATCTGTGGGTCTGTGATCAATGCCCTTAACCCCCAGCTCCATGGGTGCAGCTGCGGGCGGCTGCCCAGCTTCCTCTCACCTTCGTAAGCGTCTGTGTGTCATAGAGAGCAAGATGGGGTAGGTGATCTACAGGGATCAATAAGGTGTCATTTATTTAAAAATCCTTACAAGGTTCTCTTTCCTCTCTTTCCTCAAAATCAGTGTAGAGTTTAAACATTTTACCCCGATTATGAATCCTGCTGCTCCACTAAAGTAGTTTTCTTAGACGGCAGCATTTTGCTGGCGGAATGGGTGTCAAATAACTGGAGCGTTCCAGAAGACAGGCATCCGACAAAATCGTAGGCAAACACACCCAGAATACCTTGGCAAGGGATGCACAATGTTTCGGGAATCTGCTCCTGATCTTTCATGCTGTCGGAGACACCGGTTATGCAGCCAAGAAAGCATTTTTAAAAAGTGAACCCAAGTCAGGCAGGATTCCTGTGTTCGGCAGCACTCGAGCCCGTGTCTCACTGAGAGCCGATTTTGCTTTGCCGGCAGAACGAGAGTTGCCATAGGGTGGAGGGGCCGGCTTCCTGTCTGCTACAACAGGCACGCCAGCCAATCACGCGGCATTTAATAAGCGGTATTCACGGCACAGAGATTTTTGGCATTACTGGAGCAAGCAGGCGGTGATTTGGAGTTTGCCAGCTGCATCAGCACCAGTGTATATGGTATTGGACTTTCCAGATGCAATATTGAAGCAAACTGTGCAGGTCAAATAATGGCTCTCCGCCCTGGTCATGGGTACCCATCATGGTCACGGTTTGGTGACCGAGTGTTGTGGACTGGCACCGCTCTCAAGGAGGGGAATGTCCTTCAGTTCTGCATATTATTTGTGCTATTCAGAGTCAATGGAGAGACCGAAACTCCAAGAATAAAGAAAAGTAAATTGTTTTCCTTTTCCCAAACAAGCCCAGGTATTTAGGGAATGCAGAAAACTTGGGGGTTTTGGGGGGGGGGGGGGCAAGGAGTTAGCCATCGGTGAATTGTGAAAATTATCTCTGGTGGCGCAAGAGATCACGGGGAATCCGGCGCGCGCCAGAAGGGGGCGATCAGCACCACGCAGGCTAATATTAACCGTGGCTGCTCCGCAGCTGGACACAGGCAGGGCCAGCAGCATGTGGCTAGCAGCCAGTTAGTGTGGGATGGTTCTCTGCAACAAGGCTTACGCCCCCTGCTGGAAAAAAGGTGCCAAGAAAAGGCAGGGGTAAACAAGTTGTGTATCCCTTCCCCGGCCCCTTGTATAAAGACAGCTGGGTGGATGACCACGCTGAAGGAATGTCACCTCCTTAATGACCCCATCTGTGCCGACCGACGCGTGCCTGTCTGTTTGGGGGAAGGGGTGCTTCACTTTAAATCACTCCTCACAAAAATGCTCTGAGGGCAGAACGAAAAATGATTGGTTCAGAGAGATAACTATTTACATTGTAGAGGAGGCGGGCCCAAGCAACTAGAGAAGGTGGCACCAAGACATCTGATTGGTTCATTTTTCATCCTGCTCTCAGAACATTTTTGTGTAACACTCCCGTGAGCTAAATTCATGACCACAGCAGCTCAATTCCACAATCCTTTTGTATGTTTATTCCTCTAAATAAACCTTGTCCCTCAAGGAGTATTTGCTTGCGCCCTATTGCTGCATGGCAGTACTAGAACTAGAACACTGAAGTACGTTCATACTGCATGGTTCTCAGTTCCTCTGGAGGCAAACACTCGTGCTACCCCCCATCAATTTACAATTTACACTATGGAAAACCCTTTCAAGATGTACATGAATGCACCATCACGTCATACACAGGAAGTGCGTTATGTAACAAAACAACAGGCAATGAGTAATGCACTGTGTGATCCACAGGCCATTCAAGGGAAGAAATGAAACATGGAGAATTCTATAAATATCAGGTGGAGTTTGCACAGGCATGAAAGGGTCTGCAGATCTGCAGCAGACATGTCAAGGTCGTGGGGGCGGGGGGGGGATGATGGCAAAAAGAGAAACCCCATCTCACAGCATCGCTCATTCGCTCAAGGCCAGCAGTACAGCAGCAGCACACCCTAAGAGCTAATTAGCACCTCTTCATCAAAGGATCTCATTTCCTTCAACCATCCACTAATCTGCAGTGAGCTTGGCTATGAAACACACTGTGTTTCAAGTGGTCGTTTCACTGGATAAGGGCTCCCTGCTTCTCCCAGCAAGCAAAAAAAAAAAAGAAAAAAAGAGAGAGACAGAAAACAGAGTGTGGCCAAATGTCCCCGCAATGTGCTGAAGCCTGTTACTTTTTAGCTTGTGAAGACATTTTTTAGGTCCCCACAATACACACCTCAATTTTATCAAAATCTGTGACTGCAATCAAAAAGCAAAAAGGCTGGCATAGCTCACTCTCCTGTTTTTCTGTGGATCATTTACAAAACAGTTTTACCACTATGAACTCACAAAACCCACCACATTAATGCTCATCAAACAGCAAATATCATTCAGTACGTTTACATGCACAGCTAAGCTAAGCTACGGTTATAGCTCGACTATGCCATTGAATCAGACTACGGTCCTTCTCGCAGTATATAAGCACGGGAGGGGAATCAATTTATTGACCGGAGTATGTCCAACTCCGCTACAAAAGGTGAAACTGAAAAGTTGACCTATTACATCAGACCTAAAAAAATAAAATTCATAACGATGGATGCGTGTGCAAATGAAGTGACACAAGCTTTAACAGCGATCTTTAAAAGTCCAGCTTTAGTCGGACTAACACAATAGTTCAATTTTCTTAGTGTGCATGTAAACAAACTGAGTGATGGAGACAGCAATGTCACACCTGCCCCTGGTTTGAGCATGCTTCAATTAGAGCCAACATTATTTCAGCAGTTCTTCTCAGCCAGCATTGTTGATTTTGTGCATGGGGCTCAGGTAACTCAGGCAGAGATTAGTTTTATAGGGGCTATGGAGCAGGTATTTTCCAGGTACTGCCTGGGTGGTTTGGTTGACCTGCTTGGTTCTTGCTTACCAGCATTCTGCCCTGGGGTTTCTGGCCAACTGGTTTCTGCTTAGAGCATCCGTGGGGTGTTTCTCAACACCAAGAAGGCAAAGACTGTACTTGTGATCTTGGCAAGACCGGTCTTGCTAACTTGCCTTCCAACAACAAACTTGCGGGGCAAGGAATCATGGGATCGGTCTCATTTGGCGGGGATGCAAACGATGTATCCTTGATATCTGGGGAGGGGCAAGAATGACATCTGGGGGATTTTACAGTCTTCTGTACTTCTATTCATAGTATTGGAACTGTTCTTCAGCCATGGAAGACGACGTGAGAAGGGTATGTGAGAACACAAGTATGGCCAATATGAATAGACAAACACCAATGATTCCAATGCCCAACCCAGAGTTATACCCTGGTTCTCGCCCCTTCGGGTTCCCTAGTTTAGGTCTAGGCCTACATCCATCAGTCTTCTGTGGAGGCTGCCTTCTCCTTCACCTCATCCTGTGGCTGACCTTCCAGTCAACAGCCCGAGTCCTGCTTCCCTGTCTCTAGCAATGGTGGGACTGTGGGTCTCGAAGGGCCAGGGGCCAGAAAACAGTAACGCCTCTTAAGACACTTGCCTCTTAAACATTGAAATCTGTTGATAATTAAGGCTGTGGTAGGCTGTAAAAATTTTTTATGACAAATGGGTTCCATATTAAATTAAATTCACTGGGAAAATGATAAATTGAAAACTGTGGCTTGCCACTGGTGAGCAGTACATTTCTGCAATTAGCCATAAACGCACAAGCTTTCATCGACAGCATATTACACTTTTCTTTACCGCGTGTGAAACTTCGGGAAAAGCTGTTTCCAAAAAGCCTCGTTTCGGAGGCAACCCGGGCAGCATTTTAACACAAGATAAAGCACACGATAGGTGACAACTGATCACTGGGAAACTTGACAGACTGACGACCAATTCGTTATGTTACAAACAGCAAGGGTGTCTATGCCGCCGATACTGTTCATTCAGAAAAGGGAGAAGACTGCCACGTCCGCGCCCCTCCCCCCACAGTTCCGGAATGGGAGTAAAATATCCTGCCCCCCAGTCCCAACAGCAGCCATAGCAGGCTCCCTTATCCATGCGGCCGCCAACTGAAGCAGGATTGGAAGACCCCCCCGCAAACGGCTCATTCCCGCAGCATGTACAAAACCACAAATACCTGTAGAAACATGTACATGTGCATGTTCAATACTGTGCACAAGTGTACAAGCATGCACATGTGCATGCACACAACTGTGCAAGAATGCACGTGTGCATGCGATTGTACCGCAACTTCGCCTTCCCGAAGTCAGTTATTAAAGTCTTTAATTCATTTTCGCTATTTAGTTATTTAGTATCCTTAGGGGCAGTTCATTCTCCATTAGCCTGTAGCTTGTATCACTGGTAACTTAAAAAAGTTCAGCATGCACGCGCCGCGACACAAGCGGTGGTCAAAGCAACGGAGTAAAATGACCACAACATGCAGAACTTATTTATCTATGTGCTGCATTATAATATTTGTGACCAAGTGGCCCCCATATTGCTCAACACATTCGCAGCTATTCTGAGACTACTCTAAAAATACAGCCATCACACCGCAAGCTAATACTGTACATTTAAAACGCAGGTTAGAACTACGTCGCTTCCTGAATGACTACACAACTAGATTTTAATATTTTTTTTCTCCACCACGCAAGGGTAGAGAAGGAATTTCAAGGGACTGCGGCAGCCGACTTGCTCCCCATTTTCGCCGGCCGAAGGGCGTCAGACATACACGCCGCTTTTACTAATATCACTTCCAAATAACAGGATTAAATGCTGGGTCATCCAGGACGTCCCCGTGCGGGTTATTGAAACATGGATCGATGAGAGATCGCATCGGAGAAAAAGAGCAGGGCATCACCAATCAGGATGCAGCTACTTCGGATAGAAGAAATTTCTAGACTTCCCCCGTAGAGAGCTACAGGCTATTAGAATCGCTAACATTACAAGCAATTCCTATAAACTCAAAAGTAACAACACCTCACCCTGCAGCTCCAAAAATGACAGTGATCGCAGTTATCTCTGATTTCTTTCCCTTCGTGCCCTCATCCACCGCCTATTTCCCCGCTCCGGGTTCGCAGGCTCGCCGACTCCCCAATCCCCGACGCCGGGCTCCGATGATCCTAACCGCACGGCTGATCCTGCTTTTTATATCCGTCTCCCCTCGGCGTCTCCTCGGCCTTCCTATCGCCATCTGGTGGCTGAGTGCAACATAGTTACGTGCAGGAAGTCACACACTGCAGGGTTTGGGACACACGGGGGAGGTTGCCGGCCTACTGATGGGGAGCACGCATCAAAACTAAATGATATTGGACGTTTATGACAATGATGCTTAATAATTATTGTAACATCTGAAAAGAGGAGATTATTAGACAGACCAGGATTCGTACTTTGCTCAAACCTCACCTCTCTCCCATTTTTATTTAACAAATTATTGCCCTGTACTTTTACATTTAAAAGTTGCGTTAAACAATTACTTTGCAAAAGTAAATCAACAGTCAACATAGCAGGCGAAATAAATTATTTCTGAGGTAATTTTAAATCCCATTGTACAAATAATACTCTTTGTAGATATCAGCTTGTGTAACTGATTTTATTTTCAGAAATTTTTAGTTTTACCGTGGATATGATTACAGAAGTGACCGAAATTAAAAATAATTCAAACTGTTTATTCTGTCTAAAGCAATGAATTCCAAATTCCAGAAACGTCATGTGCCTGGGATATTTGTGACCAGTCTTTAACTTGGAAAGATTACTGGCTAGGACAAAAATTAAATTTTATTTAAATTGCCGATATATTTAAATAAATTGCAAATCTAGACTAGATTTAAAATGTTTGAGACTGCATTATTCCCTCTATAAATCTCATTTACTATGTGCTTGGAAATGCAATACAAACGAATGTGTCAAATTCACAAACTAAAAACAATACAATTAATTATTTCGCCTTTCTAACAACAAATGTTGGAATGTAAGCATGATGTATTGGTTAATTACTCGCACAGGTTTGGTTATTATAATACCAGTTAAGTAACTGAATCGATATCAGTGGGACTTTTTATAGGCTTTCTTAGTGTCAGGGTGGGGGCATAGACACTCTGGCAGATTCAGGGGGTCCAGCACTTTGTAGTGCAAACATTTTGGCAGTAATTCAGGCAATAAAATTTTATGACTTGTAGCACAGGTACGAAAATACAAGATGTAAAGTTAAGGTAATATATGGACTTGCAAATATGAACAGTGACATGTACAGTATTTTATTCATAGAGGATTGTGATTGTGTAAATAACACATTGAAATGACTGTTAGTTGAAATAAATACAGTAAAACCCAGAAGGAGTGAAAGGTCTGAATACCACAAAATTGGTGCCAGGGTGTTGCAACAGCTGAAAAAACATGCCGTTTGCACAGCTGCATCTCACCTCTCGAAGAGGAGAGATTGCTGTGCGCCTGCGCAGTGCTAACAGTTCCTGTGTACACAGCGGATCCACTGCGGGTCCCCTTTTGATGACGACAGCTAGCTGCAGTAGGTATTTGTTCAAATTAATCAGGCAGGATTTTATTTCGCTACCTGTGTCGAAAGGGTCGTAATGCAAATCAGAAAACAGTGCGGCAGTTAGAAATCTATATAGAAACTATGAAAGAGCATCCATTTGATTTTTTTTACGGAGGCGGTGCGACTGCCGATATTTTAGGGAGAACTTTACGGAGAAGTTTGTCTTAATTGAGTGTAATTGGCGGTTTCCGAGTAACTGAGGAAATCGGTTACTTTGTGTCGATTAATGGGATCGTGAAAAATTGTTGTATTTCTTTACGAATAAATAGGGTGTTGTTAAAGAAAGTAGTACACACTGGAAGTCGCTCAGCTAGAACGTAGCTGATTGACATTGTTAGAGTAACTCTAAAGTAGGGGATCTCTACCGCTCACGATCTATGACTAATCTTTGAATAATGCAAAAGCAGTAGAAATACAAAGGATGGCAAGCAATGTTTATTAATTTATTTGTTTGTACCACGCCACACATGGGTCACACTTTGTCAAATATCTTGCTATTGTGTCTTGCAGGTCCCCGCTCGCTGCTCACTTTCTACGAATTAAAGTATGCGCTGGATCCGCGCGCTGCCCATTAAAATCCAGCCGCTTGGCTCGCGCTGCTGCTCGAGCTACGTGTCCAGAATGAGGTCCCTGACATTGATTAGATGTTTCCAGTCCATAAAATGACCAAATCTTTCTTTCATCAATGTGTATCACTGTCGATTGTTGTACTGAAGGTGAAGGTGAAAATGCAATAAATAATCTGTCCTTTTGAACAAATCCTGGGACAATTATTATTTTTTTTTTAAAACACCGGGGCTAAGGGACCCGCATTCAGTCTTTGATCTCTTCCGCTTGTCCATCCAGGTACTTAATGAATCTGAAGGAGGATGATGAATTGTGTCGCAGGGCTCTGCAGTCTGGTACTGTGCTGCTCTACCACAAACTGAGCCCCCTACTGCAGAGGACAGACAGGGGAGGGTACAAGTTGCCCATCTTCCAGGTCTCAGGTATTTTCTAGAAACACTGGTCACACCATTTGCAGTAATAAATGAAATAAGATGCCCAGCAGTGACAGTTGGTGTTGCACCTAAGTCACGTTTTCACTTGTTGAATATCGACATGCTTATACACATTTTTACATTAAATAAATGGCTTAGTGTCTGGATCCTTTGAGCCGTGAGACTGATTTAGAAATAGCAGACCTGCAGCACCATGGAAAGACTGCAGGCTTTTCTGACTTTTTTCAGTTGTAAATGGGATGCTGGAGAAGCTTGGGAAGGACGCCGAGGTCATAAACAGCTCCGTCCTCGTCGGCTGTTCGGACAGCCTCCTCGCACAGTTTTGCCTTGAAGTTGGTAAGAGTGACAACCTTTTATGAATCTGAACGTCTTCTAATTGGTATAAAGTTACAATTGCTTAAAACAATAGATAATAATAGATGAAAATGTTTTTGAAATAATACAAATTCGCAAAATAATTTTACTGGTGTTGAGAGCTGGGGGGCGCAAAATAATGATTGGATGAGATGTCACTACAAAAGTAAATGCATTTTTATATGACAAAAACATAAACAGATTTTAAAAACATTTGAAAAGTAATTTTCTTCTGTTTCCTAGCATTGGTAGTAGTTTCACCCTACTATCAATGTCCAGACTTTTTCCTCAGTATTCAGGATTGTAGCTATGGGCCTTGCTGGACCCTCTTTACTGGGACACGTGCCCAGTATTTATGTGCTGTGCTCTAGTCAAATCTCATGTTCAGTTTTTAAAGTCATATTAGTAATGGGGGGTGGGGGGCAGTTCCCCAGTAGAGCTTTATGTCTAGCAACACCTCTGATTGTAGCTAAAATGGTTTGACAGCATTACCGTTCCATATTACCGTAACTTTGCTAGAATTTTTTGTCGTCTTCTCACTATTTGATGTGGAACAATCTGTGTTACAGCGGAGTTAGAGCAGAATGCCGTGGAGGAGCTCTGCCAGGGCGTCTTCACAGACCTGAGGAAAGCATTTTTTCTCCTGAGGAGTTCAGAGGTCCCACTTGTGACCAGGGTACTGCGTGTGCCAGTTCTGCTTCTGACTAATCCACTTTCACAAGGCTGAAACGAAGTCCTTTCTCTCGTTCATTTACCATGTATGATGTACATTTTGTCTTTTTGTTAAGAACACGTAGGTAATATGCACTGTAAGTGTCTGACTGATCCAGTGCCCGTCTTGTGTGAAGGGACAGGCCTTGCTTCGCTGGCATCAGACCCACAGCTACTGCAGTGCCACTGGAAAACCCACCCAGCGGAACCAGGCGGGTAGCCAGCGAGTGTGCCACAGCAGCGGAATTACTTATTACCCTCAGGTGCGTGAGCAGGGAATGGTGAATAATAGTGAACGTGGGCTTATCTCCATTTGTGACCAGCATGACTCCAGATCCCTAATATTTTCTGTCACTATAAAGATAGAATGGTACTTATACAGCTCCGGAAAAAATTAAGAGACCACAGCAAAATTTTCAGTTTTGCTCTTTGTAAGAAACTCCAGCCTGGCTCTTCCCTGCATCTCATTGATGAAGGGCTGCTTCCTTGCTTTATGGGTCTTCAGTCCTGTCTGTGTGTGTGTATATATATATATATATATANTATATATATATATATATATATATATATAATATAATATAATATATATATATATATATATATATATATATATAATATAATATAATATATGTATATATATATATATATATATATATAATATAATATAATATATGTATATAATATTTTATATATATATAAAATGGCAAAATAAGTTGTATTGCACTGGTAGTGTATCTGTTGTATGTGTGTTTTAGATGTTTACACTTGTAATTGATGTCTTTCTCCTGCAGATGGCGCCTGTGGTGATAGTTTTAGTATCTGATGGCGAGAGGTGTCTCTTGGCCCGGCAGCCTGCTTTCCCGCGGGGCATGTACAGTGCACTGGCAGGGTTCTGTGACATGGGTAGGCCAACGCACACCACTGCGCCTAGCAATCCTAAAGCGCGCCGTGTCTCGGGATATTGATATTGCAGTGCATGTCACGGAGTAGCTTGTAACGTTCTTGCGTCGGTGGCACAGTCACTGCGTGCGGTACCGGAGGTTATCACCGGCAGGAAGTGTTCTGTGTCCTTTGTACTGTGACCTGCCCGCTTTGACTCGGTTGCGATCGCCTCGGCAGGCGAGACGGTGCTGGAGACGCTGCGGCGGGAGGTGGCTGAGGAGGTTGGCCTGGAGGTGGAGTCGGCGCAGTATTCCAGCTCGCAGCACTGGCCCTTTCCTCAGAGCTCACTCATGGTGGCCTGCCATGCCACTGTCAGCCCTGGAAGCTCGCAGGTTAGAAAGACATACCAGCTGTTTGTCTGGACATGAATCCATGTGTGTGTGGGGGGTCATTTACGACCCACTTGCTTTTCAAGGGCATATTTTACCCCTCTGTGGCAACAACCTGCCAGTGTTAAATTTTGATTTTATATAGCTATTAATCCATCAATCTCCCAACCATGAATTGTGGGAGCCTATCCCAGGCAGCATGCCAGTCCATCACCTTGTAGCTACTTAGGTGGATAATGAATGTCGGGTATACTAACTGTTAACGGGCTTGTTTACTTTTTTTCCACGACAGATAAATCTGAGTGGGGCAGAGCTTGAGGATGCACGTTGGTTCACTCTGCAGGAAGTCCAGGAGGCCCTGCAGAGGAATAGTCCGCCACGTGACATCAAAGGGGAGGCTAATGTATTCTGGGTCCCGCCCAGCTCAGCCATAGCCAATCAGCTTATACAGGAATGGGCCAATCAGCAGCTCAAGTCATAGGCAACATTCTGGTGGGTAATAAATTACTTTAATTGTTTATTAGAAAGCTCAAGATAAATGATTTTAGTAGGAAAATATAGAGGCAGGTGACATATGATAAAATAAATGGAACTCAGGTCAGACATGCTGTAAAGACTAAGCAGTTACATCAGTTCCACGTTATTTTTGTGACCGTAAACATTACTGGGTGTTGAGCTACTTCTGAATTCCTCTTCTCTACTTGTCCAGTGCAGGAACATTGTGAGCCTGGAGTCTATTCCAGGAAGCAGAGGACAGGTTACATCATGGATGAGATGCCAGTACATTTCAGGGCGCACAAACACACACACACACACACACACACACACCCTACAGGCAGTTCACCTAACTGCACGTCTTTGGATCATGGGATGAAACTGAAGTAACCAGAGGAAACCACAAACAGGGGGGGGGGGAATGCAGGCTCCAAATACAAAGACCTGGGGGTGGGTTCAATTTGATATTTTGTCAGGGGCCCAGAATTTCTAGCTATGCCCCCTGGTGGTGGGATTCCCAATGTCCAGCAGCCAATGATACTGATGGAATGTAAAATTCCCAACCATAGGATTGCAACCTTTGTATATTATAAACACTGCCTCCAAGCCTGAATTTATATACAATACTTGATTTTAGTTTGTTTTGAGTGATCAAATGTACTGTTTATGTAAGTTTCCTTGCTTTTTAATTGTAAATAGATATTAATCTGGTTATTGGGTGAAGTAGATCATTTATAAGCAGGCAGATTTTAAATATTACTGGTGCCCGGGTCTGTAACAGGTGCCTTAGTTTACTGAAATATCTCCTGAAAATAAAAAATGCCTTAAACTCTTTGTGATAGTAACTTCTGACGAAAGCATATACGAAATAAAGGAAAATATACAATAATTTGTGCAAGACCATTGCATCTTTTTCTGTTAAATGTCATTAATTGCAGTTCACCTATAATTCATTTACGCGGTATAATTAGAGAATATTGCATTCTGGGTAGAAAAGAAAAACAATCTTTTACTAACCTGCGCTGCTGCTGTTTGCACCCGTGATTGACAACAGTTTGTACAGAGTCTCTTAGTAAATGTTTACCTGGAAGTTTATGACAGTCTAGTCCAAGAATAAGGATCTAATTAGTAAACGGTGATAGATTTTTTTTTTTATTATTGTTTACCGAGAGTGGATTGGTGACCACCCTGCAGTGCATTGACCTACTTGCCTGGTTAAATGATACTTAAAAGTGTAGAAAAAGAATGTTACTGAGGCCTAACATCAAGTGAGAATATACATTTAAAAATATTACAAAAAGGGAGAATAGAAGAAGATGACTTTATGGATGTTTGATTTTTGTTAACCGACCAGGGCTAAGAGTAGCCTATAGGTTGTGCATGACTGACAGGGGAGATTCAGCGGTGGGGAGACGCTTCAAAAGGTGATTCATTTATTATTGTTGTTGTATGTACAAATATATAATTATCATCGTTGATTGAGTCAAAAGTTGACGTCGACTGGATGTTTATCGACGGATCGTCACTAAGCGCAAAAAAACCGATAATTAAAACGACTGTGGCTTTACAGGATACTGTAATTAAAATATGTTAAATTACACGACAGTCCTGAAAAGGAATTGTAACTTGATTGTAGCAAAATTATACGTAGGCCTACTGAAAATAATGAATAAATATCTTTAATATCTTGTTAAACTGCACAGGTTTAACTTGCGTATAAAATTATATGCATATATATTTATTTGTTTCAGTGAATGCGAAAGCGCTGAATGTTTAATGTAGGATTACACTGCCTGCGAGATCAAGGAGGAAGGTTTAATAACTAAATGAAAATAGTTTGTAAAATATATATTTTACGTCTTCTATATGGGTCTAGGGAGATAACGGGGACCTTCGCCTTCCTAGTTGCAGCTGTGTAATCATTAACAGACAGCAAACATAAAGTGCCAAGACAATGAATAGCATCCATTTTACGTACCTCCTCCGAGTATATAGCTACAACCACTTTATTTTGAAACTGTTGTTTTGTTTGTTTGTTTGTTTAGTGTTTTGGTTATATTGCCTTTATGTCAGGTATAGCATATTTTACATTGGCCTATAATGACAAGTATCTGATAGTGTAGTGTAATGTAATAACTTATTTTATTAAATTGATGCCGTTCAGAGCTCGCCGGAGATGCACGAGTGTTTTTTGGAAGATATTGCAAAGGTTAAGTATTGACTTAAAAAAAAAAAACGCCTGCAGTATTTCTGTTTTCTGTGTTTCGGTTTAATCTTGGTGTCCTTTACAGCCTGGCCCGGGCTAAGAGGAGCTGGAAGCTGCCTGCTTCGTTACTGGGAGTGCTTCAGGCTGGGAAATGGGAAGCCATCAGCGTTGTCACTCAGACGGGCACCATCCTGTTCGCCCTAACCTTATATTCCCTGAATACCTGGCTGTACAAACTGCTCACCCAGATCTTCGTCTCCCAGTACCGCTTTCCTTATGCGGTTCAGCTCGCGTTTGCACAGGTAACGGGGGGCATGGCTGTTCTTTATTCATCCAGTAGAGTAGTGTTTCCTAGTCCGGTCCACGTTTTCGCTCCCTCCCGGCTCCCGGTGGGGTGAATAATAAGATGCGTGACAGGGTTAATGTTACTGCTCTGTCACTGTGTTGGCTACACGATTAAACAATAGCACAATGATTTATAATTATACTAGGTGTTAACTAGTAGTTAAAATTATACATGATTATTATATACAGCTAATAAAATTAAAGGTGTATAATGAGTTTAATTTTATGGACAGTACTGTGACAAAGTCTTAGGCAGTCAAAGGACATGCTTTAAGATATTTATCTAGGAAGCAAGTGTATATTTGCTCAGAATATGAAAACAATAAACAATACAATGAATAGAAGAAAAATAAATAGAAGAAAAGGGAATTTCTATTGTTCTCCAAGAAGTTACTGATTTCTAGTTGGATGGTTAGATGAACCGCTTCAGTTCCCAAACCTCTCCTCAGGGGCACCTCAGCCATTCCATGTACAGTATTTGTTACATTTCACCACCGGCTCATTTAATTAACTTAATTACTTAAATATCTCAATGAGGTATTGATTAGCCAAACAAGCCGTGCTAGTGGTCCAGTCCAAATATATATATATATATACGGTTGCATTGGACAATTCTTGCAAATACTGGGGTGACTGTATTAGAGCTTTCGAAATGGTTAACCTGACACACACTGACGTACAAAATATCGTAGTTGTGCCCCAGCATGTAGATCATTTCGACATCTTGTCTGACTGCCTAAGACTTTTGCACAGTGCTGTATATATAACCATGAGTGTGTGTGTGTGAGCGGCAGGCAGGCTGACCCCAGCTCATGCTCTTCCCAGGCCCTGCTGATGCTGGCAGCCCTCTCCAGCCTGTGCTCTCTTGGCTGCCTCCCCCTGCAGCCGTACTCGCTGCACCTGGGTGAGCGCCTACTGGTGCCCGCCATCTGCCAGGGTGCTCATGCCGCGCTGGCACTGTGGGCGCAGGCCAACGGCGCCGCCGTCCTGCATGGACTCGTCGAGCGCCTGCTGCCCCTGGCCTGCACCGCCTGCTCCCACGCCCTGGCTCTGACCCCGTCGCTCTCTGCCCGCTCCGCCGTCCTGTTGGCCACGGCGGTGCTCACATCGGTCTCCCTCACCGGTAAGCGCCATGTGCCACGTGGATGCCCGGTGGGGGTTTTCGATGGGCTTCTGGGCAGGAATTCTTTCACCCCGGCTAATATGGGCACTACTCACTCTGCGTCTGGCTGCCAGAGCTTGTACCCAATATAATTCAGGGCTTTTTTATTGGACTGGTTTGCTTTAAGTGCGTACCTTTAACACACAGTAAATCTGTATTGTTAAACACTACGCCACCTGCTGTTCCATTTGCAGTCATGCAAGCCTCACTCTGGATTGATGCCCTGATATGCCTCTATGCCGCACTGAGCCTCTTCCTGCACAGCCTCTCCCTCTGCTGGCTAGCCAAGGTGGGGGAGGGCGAGGCTGTCTGTAGGGGTGGGGGGAGGCGGGTCTCCTCGCTGGACCTCTGCTTCTCCATGACCATCAACAAAAGCCTGGTGCTGGGTTTCCTGTGTCTACTGCACCCAGACGGTGCGCCGGCGCTCAGTGAGGGTTCCTGGCAGAGCCTCCTGTTTCTGGCCTACCTGCTGGGCGTGCTGTTGCTGGGCGCTCTACAGCACCTCCTGCTGGCCGTCGCGGCACTGCGCTGCTCCCCTGTGGCCGCTGCGCTGCTGCACACCGCACAAGGCCTCGCAGAGCCCCTCACTAGCCTGTTATAGGCCAGACATTGCAAGTTCCTCCATACCTGAGATATATCACTGCCATTAATTTCAGCAGAGGTGGACAATTCAGGTCCAGAAAGTACAAATCCAGACCGAAGTTTTATTCCAATTAACCAATTGCGTCCTCTGTGACTCTTCATGCTGAACTTGTTGGTTGAAACAAAACCTTGGTCTGGATTTGTATTTTCTGGGCCTGAACTTTCCACCTCTGAATTTCAGACTCAGTTACTGAGAAAATGCTGTTGTGTTTAGCTTTTTAAGATTATTTGTAAATAACTGTGTAGAAGTTAGGTAGCAGGTTGGGTTTATGCCTATAGCATCCTTACCTCACACCCCCATGGTTGGGGGTTCAGATCCTTGCCCCACTCTGCATGTGCAGAGTTCCTCCCTTTGTATGTGTGTGTTTTTGTGAGGCAGAGGTGGAAAGTTCAGGTCCAGAAAGTACAAATCCACACCAAGATTTTGTTTCAAACAACCAGTTGAGTATAAAGAGTCACAGTCAGCTGGTTGGTTGAAAGAAAATCTTGGTCTGGATTTATACTTTCTGGATCTGAACTTTCCACCTCTGCTGTCAGGTATGGAGGTCACATGTAGTTGGATGAGTTGGCATGACCAATTCGCCTGTAGCCTCACTATGACCCTGTACTGCGGATGGATGGATGTTCAGAAGTACTTAGCCTGACTGGATGTCACATTGCTGTTTGTGTTAAAACCAAGTAAAGAATTACATTAACGAATCTGGTATTGAATACCTTGATGTGTTGTAACACTGAGTGATGATCATGCAGCCTGATATCGAGATGGGTTTCAGGAGTGAGAGCTACGTGACGTGCTTTGGCTGCGGATGGGGGTCGTGGCTCGTGGTGTCCCAGCGACGCCGGCGAGTCGTGTCACTCACAGTAATGGCACACTGACATCCTCAGGCCCTTAAAAACCGCTGCCTGGTTTTTATGATGAATGTATTAAATGCAAACTGTGCAGTCAGTACCTCAGATTCTTGGTACATTGCTGTATTTGGAGAAGCCCGCAGTCACAATCGAAAGACAAAATTTTCATTTTAAAGCTCGGAGTAAGAATCCAGAGGAAGACTACAGTCCCTAGAAACAAATCATACCAAGCGCCTGTCATTCAACTGCTGCGCAGCTGCAAATCATCCCTGGAGATACGAATGGTCAGTCATTGTGTCAAAGTCATATTCATGCAACGTGAGCGTTGTGTAGTGGGGAGATAATAGCCATTTGCGGTCCTCCAGGTTCACATTGATAGCTTCATAGCAGGATCCCGAAGAAGCTTCTCTCCTTCGTTAATGTGGCATGGACGGACATGTAATTGAGTATTTAGATTTCACCTGCACAAGCACCTGTTTTTCATGCACTTTAATCAGGGTTGCTCTCTGTTGCCCTCTTGTGACTTCAATGGTTAACACCAATAGTAATACTCTCAGCGATGGATTTTATACAACTTTTTAAACCTTTAAAATGTTATTCTCCTGTAAGCTTATCTGTACCGTTTGTTGTGAAACAGACATGTAGGCTTGAGTAGGAATGACATCACATAAAGGTGAGTGAGACTCAACTTTATTTTCCTTCAAACATTTCTAACTTAGAGTCTTGAATGTATGACAGAAATAAAACGCATTAAGTACAAAAAAATAGGGATTGGACAAATGGGTTAAATCTTGCGGGTGCAACACTATCCCAAGCTGCTAACGTTACAAGATTATCTCCTATCAAAGTGACCTGTCCCACTGCATGCTCCTTAAGGTCGAACAGCAGAGTGTTTGCTGCCACTGGACACTAACTATAAACTTTGTTTTTTCTTAGCCGTTTATACAAGACTTTTCAGTTATCTCTACCTGAATGGTGAACAGCCGACATAGAGCATGATAGAAGGGGTACAGCATACTTTTACTCCCATCACAGTACACACACACACACACACACACACACAAACACAGAAGCCAACAGCCAGCAGCCTTCAAACACTCCTGAATAAATTTCGGGACTGATACATTGCCCTCTCTTCAATCAGTCCCTCCCACTCAACAAGTTCCTACATGCACGAGCCCCGGTCCTTGTACACATCCGGAAATCACTTCTTCCCCTTCTTGCCGGCACTGGCTTTCCCTCCCTTCTTGGAGTATTTCGCTTCCAAATCGGAGAGGAAGGAGTCGAACCCCTGTTCTCTGGACTTCTGCCTTTGCTACAGTTTACAGTGGGTGGAGAAAGTACAGCATTAAGCAAGATGGCGATCAGCTGGAGTCACGCATGACCTGCACTAGGCAGCCCGAGACGAACAGAGCGTATGCAACAGGAAAGCTCAGAGTCACCTAAGCAGGCCTACCTTCAGCATCGCGACCAGGCTGTCCTCGGAGTTCACCCCCATCTCCTTCTGCATCTCCTCCGCCTCCTTCTGCTCCTTATCAGCCTGACGGCACAAACGACACCCATCAGTAGGGGAGAGTTAGTCCTTAGGTTATCCTAGGCTATAACCTAGGGCCCTGGCAAACATCAGCCTGCCTTGGGAAACACTGAGTGATTAAATTGATTAAATTTCAACTCAAAAACTAGCTCAAGTGGCCTGATTGGGAGAACACCCCTTAGCCATGTCAGCCCAGAGCCCCCAGGGCCGTTAATCTGCCCCCAGGGCCGTTAATCCGTCCCCAGCTCATTAGTGACCATATGCAAAGCTAATGGCTACCCAAATCCGGGGGTGGAGTGAACCAGGAACCCCAAACATTCATAGGGTAGGGGGCTGGCAGACGTCGTACCCTTCGCTTGCGGGACTTCTTTTTCTTGTCGCTCTCGTGGGTGAAGGTGCGGAAGGTGGGCACGTCGCCGGCGTCGATGGCACCCTGGATGATGGTGGCGATGCGCGGCTCGTCCTCGTGGGTGCAGCAGAGCGCGGAGCCCATGATCTGGTCCATGTCGCCCTCAAACTGCACGTACAGCCTGCACACGTCGTGCTGCTCCTCCTCTGTGCCCTTGTACTTCTTTTCAAAATTCAGTATGTCCTCCACCGTGATCTGACATGGGGGTTAATATGCACAATCGCTAATCAGGAATTAGCTGGGCTTGATTAGCAGACAGAGTTGTTGGACTGTTTTCGTACTTCATAAATCAGAAAAGTGACTGATGTTTCAAAAACACGCATTAATTATTTACAATAAGTATACCAGGAAAAGTCACCTTGGGGAATAACAGTCTCCAGTACTCCTCCCAGTTACGGTCCTGGTCCACAGAAACGGACTCTTCGTCCAAAATGCCCTGCTCGTCGTACACCGCACGCTGCTCTTTGTCACTCAGAACGGCGTACACCTTACCCAGAGCCTGCAAACGGAACGGACCGACAGCACCGGTTCTCAAACGCCAAGAAAAAATAGCAAGAAAGGGAAAGGCTTTTGATGGGACAGGCGCGCACACGCCATGTCTCCGGGCGGCCACGCGCACGCACACACGCACCTGGAACTTCTCGGTGGCGCGCCGGTCATCGGGAGCTCTGTCGGGGTGCACCTGCAGAGATACTTTGTAATAGGCGCGGCGAACCTCAGCATCCGACGCCTCTTTCACAACGCCCAGCACCTCGTACAGGTTGGACGTCTTGAACAACTTCTCGCACTGCTCCAGGAGGCCCATTTCCACTTTGTATACCTTTACCACAACGCAAAAACGCGGTCACATGAGTAACGTTTTAGGCCGGAAATTCAGATCACAAACACGACAGAAGGAAAAACAGACCAGCTAGTGATAATTCAGATAACTATCCATCCAGATTAAGCAGCTGACGGTACCCAAGCACGCCTGACCTAAGGCTACAGGAAATCTTTCTTGTAATATCAGTACAAACGCGCCTTTGCCATGGTGCAGTCAAGCGTAGTAATAGCTATCCTGTTAAAGAAACTAGCAAATCAGGTTAACTAAACTTTACCAAAACATTAATAACCCAGGCTCTCATTCAACCAAGGCGCTGCAGCAGCTACCTGTGTCTTGATTTACTGTCATATAAAAACAATGAAAAAAATCAGTCACGATCATTGAACATGGCGTGTTGCAGAATAACGGATTAGTTGTCGCGGATAACCCGTCTTATAAAAGTAGTTTACTCACTTTCCGTAGCCGACAACTTCACCTCCTCCTTCTCCACGACAAAATTTGGCGCGTTACGTCATTGCGTCCTAAGCCCGCGACGCCGTCGCAGCACTGTACGCATGCGCATGCGCACACGCACTTCCGCCCGTGACCCACGCTGATAAGTGTGCGAGGTTCAAAATACACGCCGAACAACGCTGTAACTAGTACGCTATTATTGGCTTTCTAATATTAGTATTTGTTTGTCTGACAGCGAAATCGCTTAACGTTATGGGGAGGATAATCTTACTTTCACCGCTCAGTTTTTGTCCATATCAAAATGATTGTGTTTGATTGCGAGCATTTTGCATGGAGTTTGAACTTGACTGACTTAAGGAACTGTTTAAGGATTTTTTGGTTATGCGTTTATTTAAAATGACCTTCTTATCCAGCAGTAGTATAGTTAAAAACTGAAGTCCTACAGGCCCCTGTTTTTTTAAACCTTTGTTTTTTTCCTTTACAGTAGGTGGCAACAATGAACATTAAAGTTGTAAAACCCGCCAACGTAAAAGGGCATTGAACAGCAGAGCTGATAGCACATCGCACCCCTTGACTTTTCATTATTTGCAAACACGCCAATAAAAAGGTGGACTTTTAGAAACCAAAAAAATGTCAAACTGTGACGCTTTCAAGGTGCAACTAGTCTCCATCATGGACATGTTTGTCCAAGAGGCCGTACTGGCGATGGGTAAGTTGTTTGACGAGGGCTCTTCGGTCATTTTGCGTGTGGAGTTAACACGGGATCTGGATGAGGACGCTGAAGTTTTAAGGAAGAAATTACAGACCGATAGCAAACTACGGACGGTAAGTTAATAATGAAAGGTATCACCACCCTCTGCCTGATGCACAGTTTTGTGTCGCATTTGCTTATCCTCTTAATCACTTCTGCTTTTGAACATCGCGATGAATTATGATGTAATTCTTATGACGGCGTATACCTTTAACTTTCACTGGGTTTCGGATTAGCTACGCCCAGTTGTATTTCATTTTTTGGTGTTGTCATCCTTCGGTTAAAGTCAGAGGATGCAGGTTTAGTGGTAAGTCTAGAGGTGATCTGCATCACAGTGGGTACCGAGCTGCAGCTGTTACAGAACAGTAGATACAACTGAAGCTGACTGACGGTTTCCTGAAATGTTAATACTCAAGTAAACCCGAACACCTGTTTTTAAAAGCTAGGAAAATCACTAGCATTTGTCCAGTTATTTAAATAGAGTGACCAAATAATCCATGTAAGGGATGACACTTTTTCAGCTACTACAAGATTTATATACTACTTTAAAATTGAAAGGCCCCTATGCTTGGATAAATAGTTCAGTTCTTCTTGTGCTTAGTTCAGTTCTTCTTGTGCTTTGACTGGTTTGTTTCCTTGATTGAAAGACTCATCCAGCTGTTTCACATTAACATTTGTGAAATTAATGATTAATGTTAATGACAACATTAACATTAATGATTATAGGAGACTGACTAATCAGCACACAGCAAGATCTCACTGCTTAAGCGAAATCCAGGTCCTTTTAATAGAAATGGAAACTTAGAAATCCTGTCCTCTCTGAAATTGATTAGTCACCCTAATTTAACCCACTCCACTCCAGTCCTGGAGGGCCAGAGCCCTGCACATTTTTGGCTTTCCCCTCATTTAACACACCTGATTCAACTCTTTGTGCTAAATTACCACACAGCTCTTGAGCTGAATCATTTATGGTGGAACGCGGAAAGAACTAAGCTATACAGGGCTTTGGCCCCCCAGGACTGGAGTTGGGCACCCCTGCATACACCATGAGGCTTCTTTCAGTGTTTAAGTATAGTCCGTTTGTAGTTTAAACTGGCACATGTTATTTGTTTGATTAGTACTCACTCAATTTACTGGGCAATTACTGAATAAATTGGCTTCGTTGTCCCCCTATCTCACTTGATCACTCATGCAGTTTACACTCATGTTTGCATTTTAATTAGGAGAAACGTTTGTCCAAAGTGACTAAGAAGTAAATAAAACAGCACATGACAAATGTTCGTGCTGGCGAGGATTCGGCTAGGTGTAAGTACAGCAACAACAACAAGAACCTAATAAGACTATTCAAGGGCCAGAAATGCAGCATTTACAGGAATGTTTTAATTTTTTAAATCGCTCTTGCTCTGATCTGTTGTGCTTTTCTAGATCCGATTCGCGTCCGCCCTGGAGACTTTGCGTAATGTTGCCGTGGAACAAATAATACGACTGGTGGATGAGACGAAGGTGCTGGTGCTGGCGCGCGGCGCGGAGAGGAGGGCGACTCTGCAGGCGCGCGAGGGGAGCGCGCGGGCGGCGGCCCCGGGGAGTCGCTGGCGCGCCTGCGCCGTTGGGCCGGGCGGTGAGTGAGTGCGGTCTCGCCGGCCAGCCTTTGGAAGCACTAACCGGGGACCTGCTGTGTGCGTGGCTGTTATCTCATGATGTTGGCTATTCGGTACGAGACTCAGTGTGCTTCGGGTTCATGACCGACTCATGCCTACGTCACACTTTCATATGGGCTCCTACTTGTAGCAATATGGTAATAAATATGCGACATACAATATGTTATGGTATTTTTTTCTTGGCTCAGATATTGAGCTTACTTTTTTAAAACTGGTAACTATACAATAAAATAATTCTGTAACTGTTTTCAAAAGATGCTATAAAATATATATATATATAATAATATAATACAGTTATTAAATTCCAGTTTGAGTGTAATACGATTCGGTAAAATATTGAATTCATTTTTGCAACATAAAAATTCCCATTTTTACACTACTAAATCATAGTTTTGTTCCTCCAAATAGGGTTTTATTTCTGCTTTATATAGTGATTTTCCAAGTTCTTTGAACAGGACAATACATAAGTATTTGCTTTATTAAAACTTTAGACCACATGTTCATAACTAGTGATGCTCAACCCTTTAACAAAACACTTAACCCATAATTCCAGAGAGAATGTCCTTGGAAGAAGAAGAAGAAGAAAACTCTAAATCCGCTCCGAGGAATGAGGTCAGTTCGTGTTGCTGGGTCTGGTTAGGATGTGATTCTTTCCAACTACTTACCCACAATGGTTTAGCAATTTTCCCCACTTTGTGGAAAGTTTATTATTATTATTATTATTATTATTCATAATTAATAATAATAATAATAATGCTTATGTATATTTCTCTTTAACATACACAGTAATTTTCATTTTTGGCTATATTCATGAATGAGTGTTCTATTCCACTTATAGATTTCCAGTTTGCCCTGCAGATTTCTGTAGTTTTTATAAGCGAGTCATAGATTCCTTGCGTCGGTCTCCCCAGTGTGTGATTGTCTGGCACCCGGTAGCGCACGCTTCTGTAATAAGTGAGGGTCGCTCGCCATCCCAGGCGTGTCAGCCTAAATTAGGAAATGAACCAATTCAGTTGGAAGCTCCAGTGCCTAGAAATAATGAACATCTGCATATATCCCAGACCCGTGCTTGGTGGAATCCAGCCAATCGTTGTATCCGTGGCTCAGTCCATGTGACCTCCGTCCCCGCCTCCCGTCGCTCGCACCACATCGCTCACATGCTCTTGTTCTTTGAAACAAGTAGAGCATAAATAAATCTCCCTGACAGATGGGAAATAAGGGCGGTGGTGACTTTGAAATGGGAAGTGGAAACGGTTGGTTAGTCAGTATGATTGATTTGACCGCTAGTGTGTTCAACACACTGTTGTTTATTTTGTCTTTCGTAGTTCTTCCTGAGCTTTGACAAATCTGACCCATATAATTTGTGTTAAATACTAATTTATATGTTAAATACTGATTTCTTTGACTGTTGGATGCAGGCAGGGAAATGCCAACCATAGTCTTTCTAAACTTAAGAGATTTGCTGCTGTTGATTCCTAATGTGTTTCCTGACTGTATGTAGCTCAAGAAGTAGAGTTCTGCACTAACATCACAGAGGTTGTGTATTCAAGTCCCAGAGTAATAATTATGAATGTGGTGGTTGTCACGACGGCGCTTTGTGCTGCTGATGATGATGGCGATCCTCCACGATGGCGGTTTCCCGTTGCTCTGCATGCGTTCAGTGCAGGAGCTGGTGTGACGCTGATGGTGTCGCGCTTGAATGAGTTTCTGTGTTAAGTCCCCAGACACAAAGGAGGATGTTTCTGAGGTGCTCTTGACTGGAGAAGCGCGGCTCAGAGATGCCCTTGGAAACGATTCCCCGGAAGGCGCAGCAATCGGTAGGCGAACTGAGCTCGTTAGGCAGGCTGCATAATTTGCAGTTAATGACTGGCTGTTTCTGTCCTGACTGATGGTGCCTGTGGCCTATCTGCAGAATCTGCTGGCAATGATGGAAAGGGGACCGAGCATCGAGACTCTGGAGGTGTCGATGCTGACGGGAACGGCCCGTTTCCGGAATCCGGGCTTGGCCCTGAGCGGCAGCAACCGACGGGCGTAGATCTGGAAGATGATTTTGATGTCGGGGAAGACGACTGCCACCAAAGCAGCGGGTGTTTCGAGGCTCTTGGGAAGGCGGGAAGAGGAGAGAAACCGTTCAGTTGCAACAGCTGTGAGAAGTGTTTCTTTAAGCTTAGCCACCTGAAATCGCACCAGCGAATTCACACGGGAGAAAAACCGTTTTGCTGCGCCCACTGTGGGAAGAACTTCACACAGAAACACAGTCTCACTGAGCATCAGAGGATCCACACGGGTGAGAAACCGTACGGCTGCGACCTGTGCGGTAAGAGTTTCAGTAAGGCCGCCCACCTCAAAACTCACCAGATAATCCACACCGGAGAGAAACCGTTCAGCTGTACTATATGTGGAAAGAGCTTTACTCTGGCTCAAAACCTAAACAGGCATCAGCGAATCCATACCGGAGAGAAGGCGTTCAGCTGCGTTGTGTGTCAGAGGAGTTTCACACGAGCCGTCACTCTGAAAATACACATGCTGATTCACACGGGACAGAAACCCTTCAGCTGCGTTACCTGCGGGAAGAGTTTCCGCCAAGCGGTCAACCTGAAAATACATCAGCGGATCCACACGGGACAGAAGCCCTTCAGCTGCTCCATGTGTGGGAAGAACTTCCGCCAGGCTGTGAACCTTAAGATCCATCAGCGCGTTCACACAGGAGAGAAACCGTTCGGCTGTGAAGATTGCGGAAAGAGTTTCACTCAACAAAGCAACCTGAGTTTGCACCGGCGAATTCACACGGGGGAGAAACCATACAGTTGTGTTATCTGCAGCAAAAAGTTCAGCAACGCTTATAGTCTCAAATTGCATCAGCGCATCCACACGGGGGAGAGACCGTACAGTTGTGACAAGTGCAACAAGACTTTTAGCCAAGGTAGCCATCTCCGGACACACGAGAGAATTCATACGGGCGAGAAATTGTACATGTGCGATAAATGTGGGAAGAGCTATTCCGACCTGCGAAACCTTAGGCTGCACAAGTGTGTTTACTAGTGAAAGAATTTCCATACAGCATATGGGAATTTTCACTATCATTTTGCAGGCCCAGATTTTGTTTTGAGAGCAGTTGAAAACTTTTTTTCCCCCAAATTTAGATGATAAAAGATATGTTTAAACCAGATTTTGGTTGTACATTATTATTTGGATTTCAATGCATTTTATATGTTAACAGACTATTGATAAGTAGGGCGATTCCTTCATATCACATTCCTAACTTTGATATTCCCGTCATCCATTTACAGAGCTGGAAACTGGTATAATCTTCTTGCTTGGGTACATTATGAGACCTGTTCAGGACTCTGCTTGCTACCTGCTGCCTGGGTTGTGATTAACCTTTCATATGGTGTTTTTGAGGTATCTCATTATTATGCACCCCGCTGGTGACTTTCAAAGTCTTTACTTGGCCTACAAATAAAATTCAATATATAGCGGACTTTTTAAAAAAAAATTTTTACGCCCGTGGCACATACAGCAGAATAATCTGCTCTTCGTAGATGCTGGTCATGACGGCGGCACAAAGTGGAAACTTGCTGACTGTGTTGTGTTTGTATGTGTGCTGAACGTGCAGCAAAGACGGGAATTGGACAGGAATGAAGCCCAGGTCCAGGTGGCTGGTCTTCCTCGTTCAGCAGCCTCCCAGCAGCCAAAGACCAATCAAGACACTATTTCATATATTTACTGAATTTCCAAATAACTTGACGCAAGTGTTTATTGCAGTTTTAGTACCTTTTTTTTAATTGCATCACTTGCGAAAGGCAAAGGCTTACAGGGAAATGAAGGTACAGGCCACGGTAAATTAGCTGCGGCAGAGATTACCGCTGCTATCGCTAAGTGGCTAAATCGTTGCTGCAGATCTGCTTAATGAAGCAAGGCCGTGGATAACCTGACTGGGAGCTGTTAGCTTTTAAGTTAAGCTCTTTGTCATGCTGCACATTTAACATGCTTATGAACCTCGTTGTGCTGGGATGTATGTGTTCTTGGGTTAAAAAGACCTCTTTCTGGTTGATATTGGCAAGATTCGGCAACGTTTTTGCATCACTTTGAATAGTGGGAGTGCAGTTTTGTATATATAAACCCCTATGGGTTGTATTTTTAACTTGGTTTAAAGACATAACATAGACTACTGAAAATAGTCTTCATATGTCTGAAATGTTCGGAGAAGTTCTCTTTGCAAGTCCCTTGCATAAAACAAAATGTACCATCAAAGTCGGCCGGTCATTCAAGAAGCTTGTTGGGGATTAAGGTAAGTATGCCGTCTCCATACATCCATTCATTTTCTGCATCCGTTTACCTTATACAGGGTTCTCAGCTACCATCTCTTGTCTATTCATTTAAAATATTTATTGTGTCATTTGCCGTTACGGTCAGGAATGTTGCATGAGCGATGAAGGTGACCCTGACCCACCCACTGGAGTAGGTCCGACAAAGCCATTATGTTGGTGTTGCTGGCAATATGGATTGGAGACCGTCAGCTGGCTGGCTTTCAAATTACACTGTCTCAGTGTAAGGGATTACCAGGGTGGACACAGAATCCAGCATGTGACGGCTCGTGACGAACCTGCATGCTGGAAAAATCTATCAGTCCCACTTTAACACGTGCCTGGCTAGTCTCACCAGTGAATAAAAATTATTTAAACAAAATAGATTTGTTTTTGTATTTTAACCTTTATTGTTATGGCAGGGAACATTGCATACGTAACTAAGACATCACAAACAGAGACATTGTCATAGACAGGGTTTAATAATGACAGTTCAAAGGATCACAGACTAATAAATTGGTGACTTGTGTGAAATACACATCTTTGAATGCAATGACACTACAATGAAGTGTGGAACGGAAATCCAATGAATACACTGAAGTAACACACAGACCCCTCAAGTGATTTAAAAAGCAGACGTCAGATTCCCTGGAAAGCCATAGTTGGGATCTTCTCATTTCTTCTTCTCCCTACTTGTGTTTACACTCCTAACCCCTGAGACCCATGTTTCCCAATACAGTCTGAGGACCCACAGACAGTCCACCACTGGACTGGCTGTGGGTCGGGGGAGGACCGGATAGGGAAACTGCTTTAGACGGTATCAGTAATGCTGATGCATACTACAGCATCGGCGTTGGAACAGGGTGTCTAGCCTGAAGCTGTGAGTAGCATACTGCCCGTCTGTGGGTGATCTCTCCAGGGAATGATAAATCGCTGGTTCTCAGCAGTCTTTTTTGGTGCGCACGATCTTGCTGTGGTATTTGATCGCGATCCCGAAACGTCTCACCATATAGACGTCGAACAGGTAGGCCGTGCCAGGCTCCAGGCCGCCAATGGTGGCAGTAGAGACGGCCTCCTGAGGGTTGAGGTCCTGGAAGTACTTGCAGACGGCCCGCTCTGTGTCGCTACGGGACTCCGGGCCCAGGCACTGCTCGAGGCCTGTGGGCCCTCCTTGGCTGTCCAGCTGCTGGTGGTAGACGCAGTACAGGTTCCTTTCCTCCGTCCCGTGCCAGCCGACGGTGACGGAGTTGCAGGTCTTGAGCTTGCTATAGGACTTCACGGTCCGGAGAGGTGGGAGGACAGGGGCTTGCCGGTGATAGGCGGAGGAGGCCTGGATTTTAACAATGGCCTCTTCCGCCACTGTGGCGGGGGACTCGTTTTCCAAATATATCAGGTAGGATGGACTTCCCTGGAGCCATATCTGCACTGGTTCCTCAGCCACAATTTCTGCCGCCAAAACCTGTGTCTGGCCAGAAGCCGTGACCCTGACTTGGTGGGGGCTGCACACCTGCATGGTGAGGAGAGCTCGGGGCGGCCAGCCGCGGGGTCGGAAGCTGAGGAGCCGGCCGCCGTGCGGTGCCAGGGCCACCCAGCGGGGCTTGCTGTCCCTCAGTGCGGTTCCCGTGGGCCGGGCCTCCTGGTGCGTGCGGGCGGACGTCCCAGTGTAAGCCGCGCTGCTGCCGCTCGAGCTGTCGAGCAGGAACACGTCAAGATAGTAGAGCGTGTCTGGCTGCAGCTCCGACACGGTGCATGTGTTCTCCACACCCTGGCAGACACATGGTAACTCCGGCGGGCCGTCCGGAACAGGAGCAGGGAACACCACATCCTTCCTGTGGGGCCCCAGCTGCTGCTTCCACGCCTTGGGTGTGGGCCACAATGTCGCTCCCTGCCGCTTCACCTCCTCTATCTTCTTATCCCTCCTCAAGGCCTCCAGAGCGGCACAAAGGCCTCGGTAGTTATGCTTGAGGTTGACCAGCACGCAGTACTGCAGGCTGGTGTTGCTCTGGTGGACCTTGGGGACGGAAGGGCTGGACGGCCAGCGGAGAGTGACGCTGCTCATTCCCACCCCCACCACGCGGACCTGAGGGTCAGGGGGCAGCTCCGGGAAGACCTTTGGAAGCCCCGCCCCCTCCTGCAGGTACACAGATACCTTGGTGCTGTGCTCCCTTGACTGCAGCTTGACGACATAGATGGATGCAGGCGCGTAGGCTGGACCTCTGTAGGTGTCCACGGCGTTGCCTACGTTAGAATAAACCTTGATGTTTTTCCTGGAGTTCCCCCACCAAACTTCTGGCATGCTCTTCTTGTAGGTCCCTAAAAGAGGATTTATATTTTGAGTTTAATCAAACGATGTTGGTCAAACCCAATGCTGTTACCCAAACCTCTGCCCTGCCTTGTTGCTTTCCATCTCTGCATGATGACGCTCATTATATGAACTTTAAAATCCCACAGTATGCCACCAGACCAAGGCTGAAATGGATACCACATGTGTACCTGCATGAGTGCATCAATGTTATGAAAGAACAAACCATGGATATCCTGTCTGCAAGCCCTGGAATGCATATAATCAGGTCAAAACTTAAATATACACATTCTTTAAAGGAGCCAAATTCAACTCTGCCGCACTGTGATCTGAGGTTAAAGGAACTGGAAGTCTCACTCAGAGGATAAGTTTCCAGGAATAACTAAGACTTCTTTTGTATTTCAGGTAAAATATTGTCTAGTGTTTTGTTTTCCACCATTTTAAAAATCAAAGTACTTTTGTAAAAAATTAAAATGAATAATGGTTATTTTTTAATGTTATGCTACTTATTCTATTCTATTGTCCTGTTTGACACTATTAGTATGTGTGATGCTTTAACTAGAAAAGTACTACCTCATTTTGAGCACATGTGAACAATGACAATACAGTTGACTTTGAATTTGACTTTATGGCTTCCTTGGATATTTGAAGGAAGGACAACCTTCTGTTCCGCTGCTGTGAGATTTTGTGGGGTGCCACTCACGTTGCTGCTTGGGGGGCTCGTCCTCTGCCGTCCTCACCATCAGGCTCCATTCGACGGGCACGTCACAGGGCACCACGGTCACGGAGAAGGCCGAGGTCTTCTTGGGCAAGGTGAAGTAGAGTCTGTCGGAGCAAACAGGCATGCTTCGCAACCGGAGAGTGGTGGCATTTCGATAAACACGGACTATTTATAAAAGCAATCAGCGTTCTGTCGCTACCCTGGTCTGGTAGCTTGAGGTCAAATCTATCGTGGAACAGACTGTGGCTCAGTGTGACCCACTTCACAATTTACACTTGGCTGCTCTGGATGTGACCCGAAAGAGTCCGGGGAAAGCTGGCTCCGCTATCTGGTCCTTAGTGTTATAAATGGGCTTCGTATTCAGAGACTGGATCAGAACGTACTTCGTTGGGTCCCTTCCCCCATTGCGACTGAATAACAGCTCTTTAGCATCACCCACGAAACTCATGCTAGTCGCCTGAATCACCCCAGCTTGTGTTCAAACACCCCCCCCCCCCCAAAGGGTACCTGAGGAATTACATCCTCAGCAGAAGCGGTCATCTGTTAAAGTCCCTCTGTCCACGAAGCCGCACCACTGCCCCCGCCTGCCCCGCTCACCTCCGGGGGCGCTCTTTGGGCAGATGGATGGCTGTGATCCTGCCTTCTGCTAGCCACGCAGCCGTTTGCAGGGGCACGTCGTTCTCGGCGGTCCGCCCTGGGATCCCTGGGGGGCGCTGGGTCCGTGCCGGGCCACAGAGCATGGCCGCCACCAGGGCCCAGTGACACAGAGCCATGTGTCCGCAAGCTCCTCCTTTACCTGCGGAAGGTCAGAGGTCAGGCACCAATCATTTCAAATCAAATCACTTTATTGGTCACATGACTTGACACTTGGTAAGTACAGCTGAGTGAAAAACTTGTGCGCGAGATCCCAACAGCAGCGGCGAAATAGTGCAAATGGAATTACATGTAAAAATGACAACATGCAGCATTGTAATAACGAATAATGTGCAAGTTAGAACAGAGTAATACAATGAACAGCCATATAAATGTCAGTATGGGTCAGGTGGACATGGAGGATAGAATGATTTTATTGATCAGAATTCAGACAGGTGGAAAAATCTTCCCAGAGTCTGCTGCTTTGGGCCTCATACTGCAGCACCGTTGACCTGAGGCAGCAGTCTGGTAGTGTTCTAGTTCATTAAAAGAGCCAAAATCCAATAATCAACAGTGTAGAATTTAGCGGACAGAGAAAAGAGAACACACTTGAAAAATCGTGGATTTTTCTGCTGCCACTGACATGCATTCCTGCTTCTTTTTATTTCATTTTTTAAATATCAACTACAAACATCAACTGGGTCATTTGTGACCATTGTCTTGTCTTAACTGTGTATCTACTGTGTGTTTGAGAGCCACTGACAACCAGACATTCTCCCCGTCAGTGTGAACAAACTCGGCCAATGAACCTGATTCCTGAATCTGAAATAAGCAAGTTGTGAGGACAAGACGCCCTTTTCCACAGAGGACGCCTATTCGCTGTTGCAGTCGGGCGAAGACGATCCCGACATCTGTTCTCATAACGGCTTCTTCCCTGGCCCGGCGCTGACTCCCAGCCCGAGCGCATCATTACTGGCTCGCAGACGTTGCTGAGAAGGAGGTAGACTCAGAAGAAGACGCCAAGGAGATGCAGAGGCCCTCCAAAAGAGCCGATTAGCATCCTCCCTCCCAGCACGGTTACCGGGCCTGTAAGCCAGCACACGGCGCTGATATGCAACCTGTCTTTAGTTTATTACCTCCTAATTAGGATAGTGCAGGAAAGTCGGCGGGTTACAGCAGAGTCTTGGAAGTAAGCCTGCTCTAGGACTAATAAACCCATAGAACCTTCAGTTAAATGCTTAGTTGATGGACAACAATGTGTTTCTCCAGGCGATAGGCACATGCTGGTTTAAGCATATGTTTGGGATCCCCAGAGCTGTTCTTAGAGGTGACATTCAACAGTTTTGGTATTTGGGTGAGCCCCATCTACAACAATGTCGAATAAAGACATTTAATGATTTAAATCTCCCAGCAGCCATTAGGATATCCTTATAAATAAGACTGTCTTTGTTTGAGACTGGAAATTTCCAGAGTGGAAAAATCTAATACACTGGAACGATTACAGCTCACTAAGTTTCGGTCCTTCCACCTTCTATTCTTTTCAGTCCCCTGGTGACTAACTTACTCAATTTCAAACATTTCAACTTGTAATAACAAGCCATGGGAGAGTGAGAAAGAGAGAGAGAGCAGAGTCATAGCATCTTTGCATCTATTGTTTTTAAACAGAAGTAATGTATTCTTCACAGAGATTTTGAACAATTTTGCATAAATTTTACATTTATAAACATTGCTATTTAATGATGTAGAATGAATTCTTAAGGGATGCATCTTAACAAAAATCACGCTACAATTCTCCAGTCAGAATGACAGCCTCTGAACATTTCTATTACTCATTACCGTGTCAACTTGATCTCAAAAGTAAAAGATCTGAGACAAGAGTATTCCCGTTTTTTTCGTCAATCAGACCTCTACACGCCTGCAAAACTTCCGAATACAGAGAAGTTGAAAGTCCGACAGCATGAAGCCGAGGCTGCAGACTCGATGACAATGACAAAGACCACCGCCCACCGCCCCACCCACCAGTACCTGTGCTGGACCGCGTTTTGCGGCCACAGAGCGGGAGAAGATGACGACGAAAGGGTGCCTACGCTGGTGACCCGCCTGGCGTGGATTTCAAGGCGTGACAGAGGTGGAGAGCTGAGCAGTGCCCTTCCCCACCCCCCACCCACCCACCCACACCAGCTGTGCTTCAGGTGTGAGGCTCCAGCCCCTGGAGTGGTTCCTGGCCTCCCTTAAGGATCCTGTTGGCTGAGGCTCACCTGCACTCGCACCCTGACTCAGACCCGAGCGACTGGCCAGTGAAGCTCCACAGATCAGCAGAAGGAAGATGAAGACCCAAGCACACGTATGTGTGCGCGTGTATGTGCGTGTGCGCGAGCAGAAAGTGTAACAGGGGGAGTAACAGGGGGATGGTGGGGAGGTGTCAGTGGAGGGAGGGGGGGGTGGGCTGTCAGGAGCGGTGGTGGTGACTGGGGGGGTGGTTAGTGGGATCCGGCCATGCATAAAAATCTCCCGTTAACCATTTGGGTGCCATGACCAGAGGAGCAGCGAGGGCTGGGATTCGATGGATTCGCCTCCCTTCCATCGGCACCCGGTGGGTGTGATTTGCAGTTTTTCTTACTCATTTATGACGAACCAGTCATTGAAAAGCGCCATGTCTTCCAGCAACCTGCTTTCAAGATCTCCTCCATGAGCACTGTACTGACCTTGGTCGTGGGCTCTGAAAGAACTTGACTCCCCTCTGTTTTACAGTTCTGCAATATGCAGGGTGTGCTTGCAGAGAGAGTGACAGCGTGCAGTACACAGGAGCGGAGCCTGGGCACGTCCACATCCTTCAATACACTGTTTACTTGCCTAGAAGATACTCGGTCAATTTCATCCATTTGTGCTGCTATATATTTTTGCGCCACCCAAAATGACCTCGCTCAAAGGTACAACAGAAGTCCCCAAATACTGGAAAAGGAGCTAGCAGTCCATTATTTACAGTTCAAAGACTAATGCAGGCACCCCCAAACTGTGCAATACTATGTAAAATCTCTGTGCAGTTTTTTTTATACTTGATATGTGCATTTTAGAGAGTTGATCCCTCTCTTAACTAATGAGATTAGAGAAAGATCCCCTCCATCTATTCTTGGGCATTTTATTTTTCCATTTAAAAATTTCAAAACGCTAGGGACAAATAAAATCAGAATCACATGCAGCTTAAATGTGAGATAAAACCCTTAATCGGGGCATTTAACACCTAACGCAAATCTCACCTGCGATATATTAACCAACAATTACACAGCAGCCAAAAAGTGCTTCGCTAAATAACCTTTCCCGTGGTGCATCTCTGGCTGTTTTCCATGCGTTCATATGTCACATCCTGGAACGACGCCAGTTGACAATTTAATGGGTGATGAAAGCTATTGGGAGAAAGATGAGCCTTTATCTATGGCTGGAAGGGAAATGCAGGTATGCTGGATTTATTTGTTACATTTATAGTTCATTAGATTTCATGCTTGGCGACAATGTGTCCTACTGGCTCTCTCCAGCCTGTCAGGGCACGTGGATAGGATGGGCCTGCAGGGTGCATTATGGGAGAAGGCGCTCACGAGAATGGAGCCCTTCAGCACAATAGCCAGTCAGAGGAATGAAACGCTGTCGGTACATGGGGGAGAGAAAATCGCCGGTGCAAAGTGAAGGACACCTTTCTGCTGACCTTCAGCACACAGCAGAAGAGAGAGGTCCATTTGCAAGCTATCATCGATAATGGTAGACCAAGTAGGATGAGATTCAGACCATCACTGGAGGTCAATGTAGTATTACGGCATGTAGCATCTCCTCCCCCCCGAGATGACACCTGCATACAAACGAGATTACAACTGCACTCTTTTTCACCATCATGGCGCCATTTTGCCCAATGAAACACCGGGATGTCTGGGACTGTGGCTCTGCGGTCGGCGACGGTAGCAAAGAACGACTGGTCTCCTGTACTGCTGTGGTTTCTTAGCATTTCATTGTTCGTGGAGGAACTCTGCTCATCTGCATGTGTGCTAGAAATTTACTGAATATTGCATGATGCTAGGTGATGCCTCTGGCAAGACTAATGAGACAGAAGAGCTGAATCTGTAGGATTATCTCCAGCCAAGCAATTTCTAATTATTTCTATAATAATAAAATATAATTAAGTCTGGAAGCAACAGCCACTGAGAATTGCAGGGTCTGTACATTAGGATGCCCTATATTACACCGTATTGGACTATTCTGTCTTCTACGTAGAGTGAATTAATGCCATTCATTATCACAGTCTCTGCCTTTTTAGTGTGGTGTGCATCTTCATTAAATTTCCATGAGATATTTTGATGAATATTTTGAAAACTACTTACATCGAAGTTTTAGATGAAAAGAAGGGGAGGTGACTTTGAAGGCGATGCGATTGTGGCCAGTTTGTCTCTGAAAATGCTGTCCCAGGAAACATCGGAGTTCCAATGGAACATTAATAATGTCGCCTGGTGGCAACGGCGGCACTCAAAGAAATGCCTGAGAGTGCTGGGAGAGAGAAAGCGTGACAAGTTTATCGGTGCTTGAGAGCATTAGGTGTCCTTAAGGGCCGCTTCTGGCCGGGTGACATACCATGGGTTGGGTACTGTGGATGTGGTACAATGTTCTCGCAGACCCAGACCATTGCTGATTCCATCAGACGTGATAACACCTTTCAAGGTAGGATGAGGAACCTTGTTGTCATTCTAATAACATATGAGTGATACTCTAGTAAAATCTCAAAGTCAATTTATTTTTATATAGCCCCTTTCACAACATAGGTGTGTTCTAACACATTCCTGCATCAATTATACAGAACAATTCAAAACACCCAGTATTTAAGAGATTTTACTCTCTGGTATGAACTGACAGTTAATTGGACCTAGTGTTGACCTGTAGAGTGTATCTTTTTCAGCAGGTGTTGTTTTCTAGTACCTCAAATGGCCTAACTAGAGCTTTGGGCAAACTTGGGCAACCAAATATGGATATACAAACACCCTTCATATACACCTGCTGGGTCATTCTTTGCTTTCCGAGTCAGATTAGCTCACACAGAGGGTAGAAGCATGTCAAGTGATGCACTCTACTGAAGAAAACAAATTAATGGAAATGAAGACCCTCCGCGATACACGCACAAAACCCCATCCCACCAGGTTGGTAACTATGGAGACAGGCTTCCCAACCGAGAGAGCAGATTGGGGGAGGGTTCTCACTGGAGGAGGTGTGGGGTGCAGCCCTCTTGGGGCATCTGCTTGTAAGTCGGCTTATTTAAGTCCCAGTGAGGCACATGCCTAGTTAGAGACAGGGTTAGCTGGAAGACACAAAATAAAGCCCCCCAGGGCAGACAGGCAGACCAGAGGGGAGTCAGAGAAGGCTGAGACATTGAAGAGGAGGCAACCAGTGTATCAGGGCAGAAGCTGGTCTGCACTTGTATCCTCTTATAGCTTCTGTCGCACTTCATGTCTGTCTCTGCTTTTCACCCTCAGCCTCTAAAAGGCAAGAAGAGGCACTGTGATGTCAGTCTACAACCTTCTGCAATCAACAGTGTGAGGAAACACAGGAAGGAATTCTTCTGTGTCTGATTTAACCCACGCACCCAGATCAACAGCGCACTTATGCTGGCCATGCCCCCGCTCTGCTCCCTCCCAGCTATTGGTCTGTCAGGGGAGTGCTGTTGTCATGGCATTGTGCTGTCCAGCGTGAACACGCATATTCATCTCTTGCTGTTTATCACCTGCCAATCATGTCCTTCCTGTAAAGACCTTAATCTTTCTGCCTTAGACTTGGGTTACGTCCACAATGCAAGTGCAGTGACAAGTGTGGCTTTGTCTAGAAGATGCCCTTTAATAATAATAATAATAATAATTAATAAATAAATAAAATAATAATAATTTTAATGAATTATAATCTTTTAAATTTATTATGATAATAATAAACATCTAACTAAACTATAAGAAAATAAACATGAACACTGGATTTGAAAAGCTTCCACTGTGAAAAAAACATTATATGTATATTTTTAGAATGTTGATTCAGAAAATATGTCCTACTAATCCTTAAGGACTTGTTTGTCCCATCCTCTGTTTATTTGTACATTATGCTGCTGTATCTTTAAAACATTTCATCTGAATAGTTTTTCAAGAAAAAGAGAAACACAAAGCTCTCCTGGTTTCAGATGTTTAAAAGCATATGACCGCAGGGACTAAGCACAATAAATGGCTTTTTAGCTTTTGTGTGGATGCCCTCACACACTCACATGACCTCTCAGCCCCAGGTCTTTCTCTTTATGTGGCTTATGGACCTCTGCCAGGCTTTGTGATGGCCATCGCCTATCCAACCATGCCTCACCTCAGAGCATGCATAATTTATGTCACCTTGGACACAAAGCCCACTGAAACCTGCTGAAATCAACAATTTTGAGGCAGAATCCATTTTTGTCTATACTTGTTCATCCTAAAATTCACGGTAAAAGCAATAACTGTGCAGATTTGAAAATATTTATAGTGCATTATGACAGAAACAGAAGAGACCTGACACAAGCTGTAAGTTTTTTGCACGGTGGAGTATTGTTGCCATCTAGTGGTTACATTTATTTTGCGTCAACAGTATTAGAGTCAACAGTTCCACCAGTGCCAGCTAATCTGTCGGTTCCTTGTAACAATTTTTGTACAAGTCCAGCTACTTGTTAATATTAAAATGGCACTTCATTTGCTATTTGTACAAGCATGGGTACATAGGAATTCTTTATTCACAGATATCCTGTCATGAATATGATGAAGAAACACACAAGTGATGTGATCACTTCTCCACCCACGACATTTGACCCAGAATCGGTTCGATCACATGCACTAACCAGCAAAACCACCCCAGCCCAATTAGGTGAGAATCAGATTTTTGACTAGAATATAATTCAGTTTATTATTTGTAGTATCAATATACAACACAGCATATCTGGTCCAAAGGGTTTAAAAAACTATGTGGACAGCATGAACATTAAGCAAAGATTGGACTTATATAGTATGATGTTTGTTATACAAAGACAAAATGTTGGAAAGCCATGGTCAAATGGTTGACCAATCCCCACTGAGCATGGCAAAACACGTAAATAACATGAATGTTTCTGTCCAAAATGATCTGCTGTGGATTCGCTATACACCGCATCACCATGGGGATAAGGCCTGAGGGTACCGTTGACTAGTGGCTGTGAAACTGTTGCTTCTTATCTCATCGTTTTACAGCGGCCCCTAATGTTCACTAAGCACCTAGACGGATGGACGAGATGAAGCATTTTCTTGCGGTGCGGTATGGAGATGCAGATCGGCAGCGGGTAGGCCTACCAGACCACATGTGAGATTGATTGGATGTCATGAGGGAGATTATTATAGGATTAACTGACCATTCCCAAAAAGATGGTTAATTTGATAAAGGTAACTTTTACACGAGACTTTTCAAAACGCCATCTAACAGTATGTAAAATTATATATTTAATTATAATTTATAACACTAATATAATAATATGACACCTGCTCTCTCTTGAAATATCTTTAATATTAAATGTAATTTGACGTTTCCTCTGCGTCATTTAATATATTTCCAGTGTCGTGTCGATTTCGTCTCGGTTAGCACGAATAACCCACGTGTTCGGTTTGTGTACGACGCCTAACTAGTCGCGGTTGACAAACGGTACAGCGCAACACGAGTGGGGGCGGGGCCGTGGGCGTGCCCGGGGGGCGGGGACAGGGCGGTAAAGTCTGTCGTCAGGGTCAGCTGTTTGGCCGTGTGTGAATGATTCAGCGAGTGCTGGAATCGGGAGACGCCGGGGAAGGAGGGGAGGAAGGAGAAGAAAAAGGGGAGAGCGGACAAAAAAAAAAACCAAAACAAAACAAACGAACTAATGCTGATGAGAAACGATGGTGAATGTGTCTGGGGGCTTTTAGACAAACGCATTACGTACATAAAGCCGCTACCAGAGTCGGCGGTAGGGCGGCCGTTGTGTTACCTTGTTACCTGGCCGGCGGGCTTTAACGTGGGTAGCTTCATGTCGTGTTTCGGTTCGTCTCACATCCACGTCGCTGCTCCGTGACATCTCTGGAGAACACATTTGGAGGGGAGCCCCAGCCTCGGAAACGAGCTGCGGCGATAGGCGAGCCGTGGCCACCTGCCTGCCGTCATCCCCAATTAGATTAGTGACCGCTTATTTCCGGTTTTTAACCCGTATCGGGGAGGCGAAATGCGGCTCGAGGCCGCGCGTCTCGTGCCTTTCGCGCTCAATTGAACGCGGCCGGTCGGCCGGCACGTTCCGCTCGGGCCGCCGTTTAACGCCGGTAAACGCCAGGGTCGCTCGGGTTTAACGCGGTGAGCTAGTATACTTGTCAACCGCAGGTTAGCATCCGACACATGGCTGCGTTTATGCGCAGTTCGCCGTATTACTAGTATTGGTTATGCTGTGTCAGTCTTACTAACCGGTAGTCCTTCCACATCTGGATTTTTGCTATATTATTCCCGTTTCGCTGTCATGGTTAGCGGTATTACTAGTACTGGTTAAGGTGTGTGAGTTCTCTGTTCTTCCTAACCCATCTACATCTAAGACCTGACTACGTATTCCACCGTCACGGGTAGCGGGGTAACTAGTACAAGTTATGGTGTGTGAATTCAGCAGTCTTTCTAACCGACAGTCCGTGCATCTCTGTATCCTGACTTTGCTGTAAGCGTTTAGCCGTCCTGGTAGCGGTATTACCAGTACTAGTTATGGTGTGTCAGTTCTCTAGTCCTCGCACCTCTGGATCCTGACTCTGGTGACTGCGATGATGCTGTGAAACGCCTTGAGGTAAGAGCATTTGTCGTGTGACTTTTAAATTGATATTAATATCGTTTATCCTGTACTGAAATATGGCAGTTAGTGTAAACTGTCAGTCCATGTCCTTGGATGCAGTTTCCCAGAAACTGATTGGGGCATTGCATTGCTACAGCCACTTTGACACACAGGCCCGGGGGCTGGTGGTATGTGCTGCTCCCAAAACCTGAATCCTTTTTTCGGTTTGCTCAGGCTTTTGCTCTTCATTTCTTTATGGTTGTCGCGCCTGGTTAGTGCTGGTATCATGGCTTTCACAGCTGCCGTTCAGCAGAGTCATGCCGCATCTCTGGCAGATAGTGTGCCACCACACCACCTGGCAGGTCTAGGGTATTTTCCGCGGTGTCGTTTTACCTGCAAGGTGCATGAAGGGATGGATGTGACATCCCTGTCTCTCTGATTCACCCTTCAGTGTCTGGACTGTCTCTCTTTCCTGGAATTGATCTGCCAGTGTCCTCTCCTTTCCAGAAAAGTTGACTGGGGAAGTACATTAAGTAGTCTGTAATGATTAAGTCTTTGACACCTTATTGTTACCATATGACTGTTCAGTTTGTCCAAAGTGTAAGTGATTAATAATAATAAATGTGCCATAATGTAGGTGCAGTTTGTACTGTTTCATGTGCATCTTTGTCCACTAGTTTTTACAGTACCTCATATATGAACTAAATTATGAAAGTTGAAGTCCATTTTAAATAATCTGTAGTGACTGAGAAGTCTTTGACACCTTATTGTTAACATATGACTGTACAGTTTGGCCACAGTTTACTCAATGAATAACAATAATAAATATGTCATGTGCATGTTTGACCATTTGTTTTTAGAATAAGCCTCATGAATTTACCAAATTGTCAATGTGGTATTCAGTAGAGCCCTGTGACCCTCACTGGACAAGCAGATATCACAAATAGATGGATGGTCTTGTGGAGGTCAAAGGAAACGGGTTCTGATAGAGATTGCTTGGTTGTCTGTGTTATGGTTTTTTATTTTTAACCATGATATGGAAAAGAGGAGATGCTGGAGTGCATTTAGCAGGGAAAGAGAGGCAGATGTGCTTTGGGTCCCTAGACAGATGGATAGATGGGATGCTGATTTCCCCCCCTGCTCTGAGCCCAGCATGTTGCGTGTGGCAGAAGTCTGGTCAGGTTGCCATGCCAGCCCCCCCCCCCCAACTGGGCTTGTCTCTATATGCTGTGGCTTCTATGCTGTGAGTTCATCTTACAGAGATGTGATTTTCTTCTCATGCCATGCGTCAAGTCATCACTTACGGCCCGGCCCTGTGTTTTGCGGTCACATGCCGAAACTGCAGCTGACGCCAGCCTCCTCGCCACCCCTCAGGGTGTGCTGTCAGCGGCCGATAACTAAACCTACGTCTCACTCTTCCTCTAATGTGCTCCTGACTGTAAAGAAGTCGGCAGGCATACTTTTTTTTTTATTTTGCTGGGTCAGGTCCTTCATCATGACAGGTTCCCAAAGGAGCTGAGCAGCAGTGCTGCATTTTGCTGCGCGCTAACTTGGTGATTTAGTTCATAGCAGCGATGTCCTGGGGTAGCGGAGTAACTATTGTACCAGTGCTGCTGCTGTGAATGCTCTGTGCCTGGTTCCTCTCATACCATGTGTTTGCCTTTTGTTAATCGTTAAAGGGCCACACCCTTCTGCCCCCTGCCTGGCCTAATTTTGCTTTCCATGGTATCCATCAGGCTGACTGAACGCACTGTCCTATTATCTTGCATGCTAATGGTTATGGGTCATAAGCAGCTAAAAGCTTGAAGTACTATCCCAAGGGGACCCCCCCCTTGCTGGTGTAACAATTATAGAGGGATAAAAGCATTTATGCACTGTGATGGAGGCCAGAACTGCTGGGGAGAGACTGGCCTCGGGCAACATGACACTCCCAGTAGACCAGCTGTGGCACAGGCCAGTGGTATCATCTTGCTGAGCTGTACATAGCAGTTGTGGTGGAACGTTTAGCCATATATATCTGAAGCTTGCGAGGGATTTCTGCTAATGATATTCTTTAGTGGAGTGTAAAATGGGTACTGCATGCAATAAGAACATGCTGTAAAATTTGTCTGCAACGTGTTGTATTTATTAGAAGGTCTGTCTGCTGTGGGGCTATGGAATGTATGAAGTTGGTTCCCTTTATCTCTGTGGTTTTCTCTCAGGGCATGCCTGCTTCTGTGCAAGAAAACATATAATCTCTGCATCTTTAACCTTCTTGTTAATAAGTGCTTTTTCTTTAGTGCAGAATTAAAATAAAACCAGTCGAAGGTCGTGCAATGTTTAAGGAACAGGGCCCCTTGCCCAAAACTTACAGGTCAATGTTTCTGTAGGAGCTGGGGTCCTGCTGTTGAACTAGTCCTAAAATCTGGCAGTTCAGATTATTTTAACTTAAAAAAAGCAGATACAGTCTCTCTTCCTAAAGCAGTGACTGCAGTACAGCAGAATATGAATGACTTTCCAGGGATGATTTTAATTAGCATCTTGGATATTCATGTCGTGCTAGGTCTGTAAGCTGAGGAATGGCTTTAATCACTGGGGGGATGTGATTAACAGTCTTACCACACTTGGTAACAAGATTAGCAGTTAGCCTAAGCACACAGTAGCCGTTGCCCTTGCCTATGTGATGGCTGTGGGGCATGGCACAGAGAGTAGTGTCAACAGTGCAGCTGTTTTCTCTCGGGCTTCTGTGGTCCAACCACCTTGGGGTGGGGCATTTGCATGCCACTGCTGGGCTAGAATGAAGGCGGGGAAGCCCACTTGCAAGGAGGGCAGAAGTTAAATATAGTCTTTTTATGGATATACTTTATGGATCTCAAGCGGGAAATTCTGGAAGGGACTTATCTCGGCTTCATGAGACTGATAAAGAGAACCAGAAATTCGGTCAACCTAGGTGGTGTTTCGGACCCGTGAAGGCGGGCTGCCATTCGGAACTAGTCTCTTCAGCTGGCTGTGGTGAATTATTACCCAGAAGGGCTCTTGAGTGCTTGTGTGGAGAGGGATCTTCTGCTACATTCACGGGGTAGAAAAAAAGAACAGAAGGCAGGTCTCACTTTTGTGCCCTGTCAGTGTGGCACCCGGTCAGGCAACACTGTTGTCTTTCTCAAAAAGGACAGGGGGTCAAAGTTCAGCTTCTGGTACGGAGGTCAGATGGGTCACGAGTTTTCCAGGTTTTCCCCACTGCTTATAACACTCGCGTTAAAGGGAAACCCTTATCTGTTGGCCCCATCCCATGGCCTTTGTCTCAAGCGAAAGTGATTCACAATGCCGGCCCACACTCATCTCTCTGTCCTGTGAGGCACGTGAGCTTGCACCTTGATATCTGCTGAGTAGCCACGTGCCATCCCTCATGCCCTCCCCCTTTCTCTTTATGAGCTCAAGGCCTGCCTTGTTGCTGTGGATGATGCCTTTGTGGTCGATTTTGTATTGCGGTAGATGGCTATTTGTGACCTGTGTGACTGAACTGGTTTGTGTTGTAACAGCTGGAGATATGCGTGCTTACCATCTAATTAATGATGTTAATATGCAGTTTCTATTGGGTAGTCTGAAGAACCAGATGAAGACAAGTCATCCTGGAGGAATGTCATGTCTATATCAGTTTTACAGCAACTATTAAAAATTCTTAAGTGATTGATTTGTTTATAATAGAAATTGGACATTTTTTTTAATGGAGCAGTTCAAACTATGGCTCTCTTTAGATGCTGGTGTAAACTCCGAGAACATATCTGTACTTTAAAATGATGTTGCTTGACCTTGCCGCTGTCAACTGCATAATTGTTGTCTGTGGTAACGGAGACTTCTGACTCACCATAGCATCAAGACTTTTTTGCCCTGGTGCCTCCGTCATACCTGTTAGATAACTGTCTGCATCTGTGGCACGCATAGACAGCCTCAAAAACGCCCAGACACACACACAGAGGAATGTCCTTAGTGACACACTCAAAGAGCCTGTAGCACAGTGGATGACACCTGTAGACACACCCCGTTGATATAATATAGTCATCTGTGTACATTGTTACAGAGAATGTGCACAGACGGGCTCCCAGACTTGAAAACATTCTGTTACTGTCGGGCTTACTTTTGTTAAGAATGCCAGTTCGTACAGTTTAACGTTTCTGGAAGTTTTGGGATTGTGGAACTAGTTGCTTTAGGGATCTCATTGATATGGGTGAAGTTAATTGAGGAACTGAGGTGAGAATAATGGGTCCTTTTGTGTGCAGCTGATTGGGAAGAGCGCACACCGAGGTCAAATTGTCTCCCGGAGCTCCAGGATGGAAAAGGGAAAACAGGAGCCTCATGAGATGTGTTCAGCAGAGGAGGCCCCTGTTTTCTGGTAGCTGTGCAGTGTGTGGGAAGGCTTGTTGTTAGAATACCTAGTTTATCATCATCAAAGGCTGGGTCACCTTTATCCAGGTGCATTCTTGAAAAGTGACACTCGTCTGTCCATGGTGGGTTTTTTTAAATGCATGTCCTCAGCAGTTTGTAAACAAATTTCAGCCTTTATTTGGAAGTTTCAGCTACTAGTTAACTTACTGAGTTTGTCTTACATGTATTACTTTGCAAGAGTATTCATGGAACAAGGCATTAAATCTCACATGGTTTTGGATTATCGTGTCTGTTACCCTCTAGTTTAAAACCCTTCCTGGCTGATTATACTTGTCTTTCAGGGTGCATGCTCCAGAAATAGGGCTGCATGATATATCGTGCACACATGCAGTAATCACATCGCTTTTGTTGACACTGCTTGTCTGTTGACACAATTTGTGGCACCACCACCAAATTATTTGACATACTCTGTTGGTGTATAAGTTATGTTTGGCTAGAGTTTATTTTGAGGAATTTCATCTCTTTGTTATAAATATCACATTGTTACTCGTGGAAATTTCACTTATTGCGATATGATATCGTGCAGCTCTATCCAGAAATGTAAGTTTCTCGGACCTGAACCTAGGTCAGGGCTGTCTGTGTACCTGATACGTGATCGTCTAAAGTCTCCTGGCTCACCCGTGCACCACGTGACTGCCGCGTGGTCGCAGATTACGGAAATGTTTGGGCCATCCGTCGTAAAAAATGCATGATGTCTCAGTTTGGAAGGGATTTGGATGGGAGTATTGTCTAACTTTAGTCACCGAGGCTAATGGAGACGTAATGGCTTCATGATTTATTCAGCCTGATTGGTTTGATTTCATAGCCGTTCGTAGAAGTTGTCTGCACACATTGAATATTCAAGTTGTGTGGGAATGAAAGGATTTTGCAGATGGGCTTTGTATTGTATTGTGCTGGCGAACAGTGTGACTGATACTTAGTTTGTTATTAAATAAGGAGTTCATGTGAAAAGCTTGCAATGGTCCCTATTGTTATGGTATAATCAAATAAAGAACAGTGTGTTTGGCCTCCAGTCCTCGATGGGGGTGGCTTTCTTCTGCTGCTACATCGGTCAAGTGCTCGAAGGACATTTGACTTCTCCGGATGCTGTGATGTTGTGGTGTTCCATCTAGAGCAAAGCTTGAGCGGTGCTTGCCAAGGTCAGAAGCCAGCTTCTGCGGGCCCGGATCCGGAAAGTGGCGGACACGCCCTGCGGCTCCGACCATCTGCCTGCGAGCGCGGTGCCGTGCCGTCCCGCTGGTCTTCATCGCTGTACACTATCAGTCTGCCGCTCGTATTTCCCTAGCTAGCACGCTAGTCTCTTTGTGATGCTGTCAGTCTGGAAGGAGGCTGTTACAGCTCAGCTTGACTGCTCCAGCCCCACCCTATTAATGTGGGCTGCAATATTTCCTGCTCAATCAATGACATATTACTGTAGTAATAAATGAAGTGCTTAAGACTCATCTAATCAAGCTAGATTTCATTAATGTTATATAGTTATATTTACATGGCTTTAAAATAAATAAAAAACAACTATTAGAATTTAATAGAAGTGTTGCAGGATATGGTAACTAAGGGCAAGTGCCCGGAAAGGTCAGTTGAATAAGAGTGCAAGCTTGGTAAATACCTTTTATATTTGACCCTCTGGTGGGGAATTGTGAAGGTCTCCTCCTGTTTGTTTATTTAGTATGTTGCGTTCAGTTTAATTTGTCTTCTCGTGGGCTGTGGGTAAACTGCTCGTTTGCAGTCTTCTGTAGCAATGCTGTTCTCAATGTTTCCCTCTCCCTCGTGGCCTGCATTGATCCGGTCAGTAGGCTACACCAACGGTTAATGGCCTGTTATCGATGAGTACGTAAACAACAACAGGGCTGCTTGTCACCGGCTGCCCGTCGTGCCAAGGAAGCGCCCTAGTCCAATCTCAGGCCGAGTGCCTCCATCAGTGGGAATTACCCTCTTAGTCCGGGTCACCTAAGCTGAGCTCTGATTTCCCCTGCAGTCAATGAGCGTGCCTGGAGAATGCAAAGATCTGGGTTTAGGTGGTGATTCCTAAGCTGTTTTCTGCAATGTTTTATGAGGGATGCCAGTCCTTACTCGACGGCGTCTTTGTGTGGCGGGACACCCATGTAATGGAGCAGTAAGGAACTGATGGAACGGTTTCTCATTCTGTTTTTTCTTCCTGTGGGCCTTCCGAGTACACCTGACCTTTGTTCCAGTGTCTGCTAGAATTGCTCCAGTTCCAGGGTCACAGTCCCGAAAAGGGGAACAAAGTTATCGATGTGAACGACGCGCTGTGTACAACAACCTGACTGCCTCGTGAGAAGTCAGCAGCTCCCACCCCTCTGCCTTGGGGAGGCACAGCTATGCAGCTATCAAATATTAAAGCACCTGCTTTCAAAAGCTGCTGCTGGGATCATGGCTGCAGGAAGGGGGTGCACAAGGGAGGGGTCCTAACGTCTTTTTCCTCTAACGGTGCTTTGCTCTGTTTTTTTTGTGTTATATAATTCTGGGGGGCGGGACAGAGAAGATGGTTCAGTGGAAGGATTTTCCCCAGCTGCAGTGAGGGTGTGTAATACTGACACAGTAACGCAGGATGCCACCTAATTGGCTTATCCCAGACTTAATCGCTGTCTGCTGTCAGTCAGCCCTCACTAGTCCAAGGAGGCAGCTCCCGGGAATTTCGGCAGACGCACCTCGGTAATCTCCCGGCGCCTCAGTGAAACTGCAGGGCACGGCATCGTGCATGATACCGCACATCTCCAAGACCCATTACAGAGTGTAGGAATAGCCTGCATCTTCTTCACCTGCAGCGCCACCCCGTGGCCTCATTGCACCATAAATAGGTATTGCTTCTCACTGCAGCTAGTTTGCTCTGGGTACATTTGATACGAAGATGCGATTTTTGTGATGGCGTCACGTCAGTGTAGCAGTGTCACTTTCGCAGTTCCACATCTGGAAATGAGGCCATGTGTGGCAGCAGCCATGGGTGGGTTTGGTGTGGTTTAAGGTTTTCTAATCCAGCTATTACATGGCATGTGATGCTTCTCCAGGGTGCGGAGTGGTTTGAGCTCAGCCTCTTTTGAGCTTCTAGCCCTATCCTGTTGTGTCTTTGACTTTGATTGGCATGTGATGTCAAGCTCCAGCAGAAGCCTGCATGACATGACAAGCCTTCAATGGCTGCACAGCCCCAGTGACACAGCCACAGTGGACCCCCTGGCAAGAGGGAGACAGGCTGTCCAGCAGAGCTTCCCCAACCTCCTGATACTGATCAATGTTTAGCATGTTAACAGAAAACCGTTTGAGGTCAGGCTTCTTTTCCTCCAAGAGATTGATGGCAAAGTAGTGGGTTTGGCATGGTAATGTTCCTCTACCATGGATTGGAAACCGGTCTGCTGGCACTTCTGGTTTGCCCTCTTTGCTGTAATGCCTCACGGGCACCAGAGTGGACTGCAATGGCTGAGGGGAACCTCTTCAGGACACGTAGAGGGACTTGGTGCCCAGAGCCGTCCCACTAAGCAGAAACAGCCTTTTCTGCCCTTCAGAGAGTCCCTGCTGTCTCCTTATTTACCTCCAGAATCCCTGTGGGTAAAGACTTCCATAAACACAAGTGCCAAATAAATCTGATTACACCAGTGGGCTATAGATATAGATATGCTGTTTTAGATCTTTGGCTCCCCTCTCCCTGATTCATTGTCAGATTTCATCTTGGGTGTCGTCCCTGTGCGTAATTACCCACGCTTCTGTCTTTCTGTCTCCTGCACCCGAGGGTGTTGCAAGCCGGGGCTCCGGGATCTGATCAGCGAAGCGTCATATCGTAACCGTCTTTTTTTTGGCTTACGCCCCACCCCTTCCCGCCACCATCCCCCGGCCCTCGCTTGTTCCGCATGTTTATTTGCGCAGAAATGTAAACAGATGCAGAGGGGGACGTGTGCAGAGCGTGGGCAGATATGTGCAATAAAGTCCCTTCCTCCTCCTCCTCCTCCTCAGGGGGAGGATTTTGACTCCATTACTTCCCCAGCTCAGGTAGGCGGCTGTCATAGCCGACAGGCCTGTGGTACATTGATGTTGGAATAACGTCTGATCTGCAAGCCTGTTTCAGCCTCCCCGTCATGGACTAATTCTCATGCTGGGAATGACCTTTGGGATGTTTCTTGTCCCCAACTAACGGGATGGGTTAAAACGTGTTGGGTGTGACTGTTTTTAATGATCTCTTTCTGGTGTTTTGTATGACTGCAGGGTGACGATCTGTGTGTCAGAGGCAGCACTGTGGGGTTCGCCCGCCCCGCCCTGCCTACAAATGTCTGTCTGTTCTTCAGCTCGCGGCCTCCTCATTTGTTAGCTGACCGGTTGTACAGTGTCTAGATGGACGGGTGACAGATTGTGAAAATACTAACAGGGTCTCCTTTGAGTAGATCTTGGGTCTGTGATAACTCACACTGCTTATATTTACATATTTTTATGGGTGTGGGCAGGTCAGGCAATGACTACTGGAAGAACAGGTGTGGCTGCATCGGTGTTTGATGGTGCTGGGCGTGTGAGTGGCGCGGTAACAGCACTGGGACCTGCTTTGTTGTGTTTTTCCCATTTGTGCAGAGCTTTTCAGCACTTATTTGGCTGACAGAAAGTAATACAGTGGTTCATACTGGCCTATTGAGTATTTTAGTCTGCTGTTTGATATCACATTTGAAGTACCATGTTTTTGATCTGTCTCTTGTCAGAATGTTAGTGGCTTTGTCATGAGTGAGAGAAACATGTGTGCTTGTGTTTCTGTGTGATTTAAACTCCCAGGAGTGTATGTGTTTAGACAAGCCTGTGCTCCCGCGTCCTGCCTTGGGCACGGCCCATCTGTCAAAGGACACGTTTCAGCGGCGATATTCCTGCACAGATGTACTGTGCTTTGGCTCTGACTTCTAAGAGCCATATGACTTTCACATTCGTTAGAGGCATTAATTAGCCTCACTGAATCATGTGCTAATGGAATGTTCTTAATGTTATCTTCCTCCTAAGCTCTCCTAAGTCAGCGTTACATTGAACTTCACTTTCTCTCTTCCAGTTTCATCCGCCGGTCGCTCCTCCATGACACCGCTAACAGCTGATGGGAGAGAACCTATTCCACAAGCCCACCATGGTCTCCAGGCTGCCAAAATTTGGTGCCCGGCCTGCCGGTGGCACCAGCCCCATGTTGAATGGATCCGGCCAGTCCACACCTAGTGTCGAAGGGAAGGTTCCCCCTCAGGGGAAGATCAACGGAATGGTGCATGTGTCGTCCCTCCCCGCCCTGAAAAGAAAGACCGGTGGTGGTACTGCCAGCGTGCCGATGCCAAGGTCTGAGCAGGACTTGGAGGAACAATTGGTGGCCATGACGAGGGAGGTTAAGAATGCTCCTGCCACAGCCTCCCAGCCCCGACGCACCTCCCCTGTCCCCAGGGGGACCCCTCGTGGAGGTCGTGTGCACGGTACGCACAGCAGCAAACTGAAAGGTTCGAACGGTGGCCCCGCACCGTCCCGCTCCAGCCTGCGGCGTTTGGTACCTGGCCCTAGCTTGCGACAGGGCCTGTCTCGGTCCAGCGACAGCCTGAAAGCCTTGTCCCTAGACAACATGGTACGTTCACAGAGCTTCAGCCATTTCAAGCAGCTTCCCTCCGCCAGTCCCTTGCCTGTGTCCAATTCCCTGTCTTTTAGCAAAGGCCAGGCACGCTGCAAGCCTGTTTCCGGCAGACCCTCCCCTAGCACTAAGGATCCTGCAGCAGCTGTTGGTCTGGCGCCCCCTAGTGTTCCAAAGAAGGCTCTGCTACCCGGGAAGCCCTCGGTATTGAGCTACAAACTGACCCGGCCTTCCATGGTCAAGCATCCACGGTCATCATCGAGGCAGGGAAGCAGGGACTCCATGGTGACGCCCCTCACCTCCCCTGATCCTCCAAGTGACCTAGGGGGGACCCCGGAGGAATCCCCGGGCCCCTCGGAGTCAGAGCATATCCCTCAGTGCCCAGCAGAGTTTCCGGAAGACATGTCATTGTCTTCTACCTCCTCCTTGGAGCATGTCGACACCAGTGAGGAGTACCTGGACGACTTTGATAACCTGGGGGACGTGAACGGGCTGCTGCAGGTGCTCCCGCCCCCCAGGGAAGGGCTTCTCCAATCACAGCCCCATGCCCTTATTGACAACACCCCCCCCAGCCGGCAGGAAAGCACGCCCAGCCAGACGAGTCTCCACAGCTTGCTGTCCGACGGTGTGGATTGGGCAGAGATGGGCCTGACAGGTGAGAGCAGACACAGCGGGAGGCCCGAGTTGGGGGGGGGTTTGGCTGCTGCAAACCTGAAAAGGCTGCTTATTCCAAGCTGTTTCCCATGATAGTGCCAGTTAGCCATACAGTGACAAGCAAAAAATATGTCTTTAGTCAAAGTAATTTTAGGCTTAATGCAAAACAGTGTCTTATACAGATTGTAAGATTATGTGTAAAACAAGTAATTTGTGTATTATATTGGACTGTGATACATGCATGAAATATGAATCACTTGTTGGACGAGCACTTGGTGTTTACTCGTTTTTTGTAGTGGTGGATGAGATTCCATTACAGAGTCCCCAAGCAAGAAAGAATTGAGGCCCTGGACAGGGCAACGACTGTACTTCTATGCCCTTTTGTGCCTCACCACCAGGGGGAGACAACGATTTCGGACTGCCGAACTGCCACAACGACCAAGCCCTGTCCCCGGACGTGGGCTACCCACACGGCTCATCTTTAGACCTCTCCCCCTCCGACAGCTCCGGGGGCACCTACATGTGGGACGAGGAGGGATTGGAGCCCCTTGGGGTTCCCACGCACCCCTGCGGCAGCTATGACTCTGACATCAACAGCATGGTATGCGGGCAGCCATCTCCTCCTGCTCCTCTGCTATGAGGGGAGCCGCAGGCGTCTCATCCTCCTCTATTCTTCAGTGTAAAATGATGTTTAATAGATCAGACTTCATTACCTCCATTACATATATGTGTTCTGGATTATCAGAGAGGGGTTTCATTCGAATTTTGGACAGTTTTCGTTTGCTGGTGAAAAATGTAAAAATGAAAGACCTACCAAATACGCCTAATGATCTGCAAACATATTGGCACTCATGTTTGACCCTGAATATGGCTCAGTACCGACGACTTAGTTGAAGGGTTCGCTGAAGTCACGTTTCCCCTTTTTACGTGCTTTTTTGCAGCTGCGCAGAGACGTCCCGTAGGTCGGTTCTGCTAGGCAGCCGTGGGTCGAGGGCGTGGCTGACACGGGGATTGCGATTCTCTTCGTCATGCACCTGGGGCATTGTGGCATTGTTGTTATGCAGCGGAACGCATGACTGGAACATTTTATTGCCAGCAGACAGTCTTGTATGTGTTGGAAAAAGCAGTCTGGGACAGGACCTTGCAGGCTCATCATTTGTATTCTGCAAATGAAGGTGCTGAAGGTGGGGGGAGGTGTCAGGGGTTATGTGGACCTGGAAAGCCTGTCCCACCCCCCCTAATTGTTCCTGATGTTAAGGCTTATCAATGAAGTGATGTGAGGCTGGAATAGAAGGCCCCTGCCTTAGCCCTTACTTGAGGCACATTACCAGTAGATGACGTTGCTCTTTATCGTCTTCCTTCTGGAAGACGCCAAGCGTTCGGAGTGGAATGCAATGCGTAATCTTATTAGCTTCCCTTTTGTCAGGCTTTCAAGTTGGCCCAGGAACCATTGGCTCAGCTGAGCTTTATTTTGTGTTTAGGTGATGGGATGCATTAGTAAGGCATTCTGCGGCTGAAATAATTCTCTCTTTGTGGTGCGTGCGCTTCTGTGTGGCTGCCCGTCGAAGTAGGATGCAGTGTGTGTCGCGGCGGTTAGGGGCTCCAGCTTGCAGGGTTGCTGCTTTGAGACCCAGGAGAGCCTTTCCGGAGCGACATCCTTAACTTCTGGTAAGCTGCTCTGGGGTTACTTTACTTTCTTTGGTTCCCACATTCTTGTGAAGGAGTTCGTCAGAGGGCCACTGCTCTCTTACCCAGAATCCTTTGCCCCATGAGATATGGCCGTGTGACCCAGCTTGCATCTCCAAATTGATTATTTGAGTTTCCCTGCGTCTTTCACAGGGCTCCATATGTATTGCATGCGTGCAGGACTCCATTTGTGTTTGAACTGCGTTTGCAAAGATATGCCAGGACCATTCGAGGCTTTAAGACACCTCCCTGGAGGCTCGCTCTCCTTATACTGCAGTGTTTCCCAGACAGTCAGAGTCTAAGGCCTTATTTGGGTAATGGTACTTAAATGTACAGATGCCCAGAGGGTCTTCTAGAACAGCTGTCCTAAGAATGCCGGCTGTAAAATCCATACACTATGCAGCAGGTTATTTTGTAGGTAACTGTAAATACCAGAGCCAAACGTGCTTTCTTCATTCCTGTGCTTTTCGTATCAGTTTGTTCCGGCCCGGTCATGAGTCTCCGGACCTACGAGTCGCCCTTGGCTTCCTGAGTCTCTGTGGTCCTCATCCTGGCAGGGTGGGGCATAAGTACCGCCAGTTTATCATGGCAGAACGTGTACTTTCACTAAATGAAAACTGACATGGATCAAATGTAGTTTATGTGTCTATAGCAGTTTCATCTTAAAGGCAATTTAACGGCAGAATTGTGTTTCACTAAAACCTCCGGTAACAGCCTGACACTGTGCCAAAATAACTCGTCGTCTGTCAGACGTATTAGGGAGAATTAAGGTTCTGAGAACTTCATCCTTTTATCCTTGACCTGCGTTACACTGACATGAAAGCTAAAAAAACGTAAGGAGTTTAATTCCCTTAAAACAATGTGCCTGTAGGAATTGTGGCCTCTACAGGACACCGTATCATCGATGCGAGGCGCGGTCCAACGGGTCATGAAAAGCAGGCAGGTGAGGGTGGCTGCTGCAGTGTCACGGCGCCGCTGCCGTCTGCTTCATTTCCCTGGAGAGTCAGACTCTTTGACTTGTTGAAACATTGACACTAGGCTTGGGTGGTCTCAAAGGTCCTGGTCAGGTTGTGGTAATAGAGGGTTACTCGTTTTCTGGGCCCGGTCAAGCAGCAGGCTGCACTGCTCACATTGGTAAGTTCAAGGACAGGTGGCGCTGGGAGGTGCGTCTCCAGTTCCCGCTCTGAGACAGATAAGCTGGATTACATAAAGTCCTTAATCGCGCAGAAAACCAAAGAGCCTTTGACAATGGCTGACTTGGGCCCAGACTCAGAGCCACTTTCACGGATAACTCTATGTGGTGACTGTCATCTAGCTATCACTGGTCACATTGATGTCATGGTAGATATTCTTTGATTAATAAGCAAAAAAAAAAAAATCCAGATTCAGAAGTGAAAAATATTTAATCAATGTCAATGACTCCTGAACCCTGGACAAAAGTCTTTCGTTATTGGCTGTTCTCAAAGCAGCGATGGCATTGTAATGTTTAATGGGGAAGTCAAGAGTGCCTGAACCATTATCCGAACGGTTCTCTAGGCTCACTTCCTCCGATGGAATTTTGGAGGGAAGTGCTTTTATCAGTCATAATACATTGTCTGCTGAAATACGAGCAGGGAAGGATCTGAATAGGCAGCTTTGCTTTTAGATACATGCGGCTGGGTCTGAAGCCCGTATTGGGGGGGGAGTTATCACACTCATTTGATTGGGATTTGAGCTGCTAATGGAATGTGCTGCCCTGTCTGCTTTAGAGGAAGCCATCAGTAAGTATCCCCATTTCCGTTTAGTAATGCTCGTCTGTAGGCAGCATGCTGTGAAGAAGATTGTCTTCACCAGACTGAATTGATTACCATTATATGACAGGAAGTTGAATGATTTCCAGTGGCCCTGGGTTGTTCTGGATAGGAGTAGGCAGATGTTTTTTAGGTAGGAATCCTGGTGTTATACATGTGATCCCTCCCTTTCTTGCCATCTTGACAGACCCCTGTACGGCACTGCATCCGGCTAAACCAGGGGTGGGCAAACTTATCCACAAGGGGCCATTGTGTGTGCAGGATTTGGGGGTAACCTTTAGGTCAGGGGGATTTAGGGGTAACCTTTAGGTCAGCTGTTCAAACCCAGGTGTGTGGACTCTTCAGCCAATCAGTCCTCTAATTAGTAACCTAATTGGGGAGTTGCAGTGAAAACCCGTACACACAGCGCCCCTTTCTGGATAAGGATGGCCACCCCAGGACTAAGCAGTTTGTCCAGCCTAGGGTGATGATGTCCTGGGGAGAAGTGGTGGGAAGGGGGTATCTGATGGGTAGGGGTGTGAGAACAGCAGGCGTAGGACGTCTCCTCACCCCTTCCGGTTCTGAGGACTCCTTAGGAGAAGAATGGCGCAGCTGAGATTCAGATGGATTCATGACAGCACTGATCCATCACCCTCCTATCCTGTATTTCAAACTGTTTAATGAAGCTGTCCGGTCCCACCTTCCTGTATTCCTTCTTTATTTCACCTGATGTTATACCTTCCTAGCCAGATATGTAAAAACCTCCTCCAGGTTTTCTTTTGTGGATTTCACCATATTTTGGTTTTAATTCAGACTTTTGTGGCATGAGATGTGATAAAGACAAACTAACTTTTGTGAGTCAGTCAATGTTTTATGGTTATGTTCCTGAAATTCTCGGCTCATGGTGAGCTGTCCTGATGTCTTGGCAAAGGTGAAGCAGTGCTGAAGTCTGCCACCAGATGGCAGTGTTGCTCTAGGCTGAGTTTCAGGCTGCCAGTGGGACTGCTCAGGTTGTTGGCCCAGAGAAACGCACGGGCTGTCACACCGAGCCTCATTCATGTCTCTCTGCAGTGCCCCTCTGGGCTCTTGGCGTCCCGTTGCTTTACATAATCATAATCATTATAATTATAATCTGGCTGGGCTGACTGTAGGGAGGCAAAGCACATTATCCACTGAAAGACTGAGCTGGCTGAAAATAGTCCCTCCGAGCCCTATTGTTTTGTGCAGGGTTGTGGTGGGCAGTTTGTACTATCTGGTTTTAAAGAGGCCGTGTGTGCGCTCAAATTCTGTGTACCTGCAGATTTGTTACGAGGGACAAAATGTTGTAAGGATTCAGAACTGCGTAAACAATTGGGCAACAACACCATAACATCACTTATCAGTTATACTGATTTAGGCCTTTTAATTAGCACTAAGCCCCGAAAATGGAAAAATGTGTAAAAAGATGTGTACTGTTAGAGATATTCAAAGTTCAGTGTTGCCCTGAGTTTGGATTGCTCCCCCCCCCGCCCCCCCCCGAGTTCCAGAATCTTCCTTTTTGCACATTTTTGACCAAAGCCAAGAGAGCAGCGTGAGCCAATAGCCCTGAAACAGCTGAGATTAGGATCTCTGATCAATGGCCCAGTAGTGGTGATTACTCTCCCAGCCGTAGGCTATGAATCCACAACCTTCGGGATACAGGCACAGGTCCCTGTCGCCGAGCTGCATGCTGCCCCCCATGTTAGATCCCCATTCTCTTTTCTGCTATAATAGTTGAGCCAGAGTTTAGTCTACGTGTGTCAAAGTTCCAGGGTTCCACGTCTGATCACAGGCAGATAGTAACTCATCAGGTAGGATGGCCCCCCTCCGAAGTGCTCCTCTGCCCTTTTCTGGGTGGGGGCTGCAATTGTCCCTGCGGTGGTCCTCCTGGGGTTCCCGTGCCCTGGGGGGCCTCTGGATGTCTGGGGCCCGGGTCTCCTCCGTGTCGGCTTCATGTCCTGGGTGGGCGGGGCTGTGGCTCCCCACACACACTACTAGACATTTACATGGAGAAACCTTATGAACACCAGCGCGCTGACACACACCAGGTGTGCACACAGGTGCTCACGGACACATGCTCACGGACACATACTGTCTTGATCGGCTGTTGTTTCTGGGCATGTGTTATAATGCTGGTTGTGTGTGCTGTTCAACAACATTTAATGTTTGATGTTTGTTGTGATTAGTACAGATGTTGGTTGTTGTCTTTCTCTTTTCAGCAGACATGGAAGCAGATTATCTGTTTTGTTTTTTTCTTTTCTTTTTTTTTTTTTTCCTCTCTCTCCCTCTCTCTCTTTCCCCCTTCTTCTCCTTTGTTCCCCCCCCTCCTTCTTTTGAGGAAGTAAATAAAAATATAAAACAAATAAATAAATAACATAAATAAATAAATACAAATAAAGTAGTCCTCTGCAGAGGGGGGGTGGAGGAGGGAATTTAAAAAAAAAAAAAAGAAAAAAACCTGCTGGATACCAGCACTCCAGGATCAGGGTTGCCTACCCCTGACATACTCCATGCAGCCAGTGGTGCCCCCCCCCAAAGGTGTGGGTATGGGCACGGGCAGCCAAACATGTGGAGATGCTGTCTGCCCACGTGTCCTGGGGGACGTCTGGTACACTGTAAGCTGCCTGAGGGGCCTAGTGTAAATTACTTTTGTGGTCTGGATGTTATAAGAAAATGAGGATTCATTTCTCCTGCTTCAGAAGGTCTGGCCCCACCCTGCTGGGTATACCTGGGTGAACCCTGGTAATCGGCGTGGCGTGCCCTGGATTAACTCCCCCGGGGAGCGCGCGGGTGATTTAATCACCCCGTTGATGGGCCTGACCTTTCCCTCCTTTATGGACGCTAGTTAGAAATTTCATTACCCCCCCCCCCCAAGCTCTCTCTTCAGCGCTCATGACTCATTTTAAATCCAAGCATTATAGTGCACTCCCCATCATGACCGATCTCGGCATCTTCAGAATTCAAGCGCTCCCCTCTGCTCATGGTCCTATGCACAGACTCTCCAATGCCCCCACCTGGACACTGGGAGTATGACGCATAAGTAATGGACCTGCTACTCCCCTTAAATGATGGATGAGTCTGAGGTGGCTTGGCTTGACGGCACTTGGATCCGGAAAGATGTTTTATTTATTTGTTTTGTATATGCAGGCACGCATAGTTTTATTACACCCCAGCAAGCAGGGCTGTCTGAACGGCTTGCCGCCTGCACCGATTGTCGGTTTGGTTTGGTTTGGTGGCAGGACTCGAATCGCATCGGGGCTCCAGCAGGCCTTAACTGCAGCCTTTCGTATCTCCCCGAATGCACGGCCCCTGTCTCTCGTGCGGTGTTTCTGTCCAGAAGCCCCCCCGCCTTGGCATGTGAGTGCCGGGAACCATTTCAGCAGATAAAGCTTGGCAGAATAAATAAAGCAGGCGAGAGATGGATGCTGTGAATGGCGCTGCGCGTGCGGGGCCGCAGAAGTTGTGCTCGGCGTGCCGAAGTTAATCCCACATCTGGCGGGTTTGGACACCAGCCGCGGCACGGCGGGCGGCCCTGTCCTCATCCGCATACGGGCCGCGTCACCGGTTCACAATGGCAGCGCACAGAAGCGAGCTCATTGTTCCGGAGAGGCCAGCGGCTACATAAAAATTGTAGTTCACATTCTGCAGAAGCTTTGCACTGCTTTTTCTTTTCTTTCTTTTTTCCTTTTTTTTGAGAGGAGATGGGAAAAAATGCCCTCAGACTGGAGCGAAACATGAACATATCAAGGCTGCTCTTAAAGGAAAGTGCAAGCAGAAAGCGAAAACTTGGCCGGCCAATAGAAACGCAAGGAAATCAATGTGGCCGATTCCAGCCTTTCTCCCCTTGTTTTTTCTTTTCTTCCCTGCCTCCCTTCCATTTTGAGAGGAGTATTGATCGTCTGTTGAGGTTATTTTCTAGCTCGTCTGGAAGATGACGCCATTGTGAATGGTGAACCTGGTCGGTGTCGGCGCGGTTGTCTCCGCTGGACGGAGGCTGCCTGTGGGGGGGGGGGCATCTCGCCCGCGTGGGCATGGCGTGGGGGACCGCTCGGCGTTATTAGTGCAGCTTGATCTCGCTCATGTTCAGGCTGCATTAACCTTAACGCCAGTCCTGATGGGAACTAAATAGTGTAACAATTAAGGCCTCAGTAATCCCCCTGGCCAGTGTAGAAAGGCCCCCAGGGGCGATTCTAGGATTTTTTTTAAGTTGGGGGCCATAATTCATACAGAGGGGGTCAACCTTATTAACCAATGATACGTTTTGAATCGGTGAGTGACAGGGTAGGGCGAACTCTGGAGCCAGTCTGCTCTCCCCTGGTCGCGAGTGCCTTATATACGTCCCAGAGGGCTTGATGTGGATAGAGGTGGTATATAACCTTTTTATAAATAAAACCGAACATAAGACAGCTTACTTGGGTGGTTAACTAGGAATGGCACTCATAGGTGGGGGATTTTTAATTCATTTAGTTCATCGGCTGCGTTAAGCACCTACAGGCTGCAGAGCGTCGAGCCCCAGAACTGCCTCCCTTTTCCCGCGCGGAGATAATCTCAGCCCTTCCAGCACAGACTGCTGGACCCCACCCCCAAAAAAAAGGGAATGCTTCCTGGGGAGCAGCCCGCTGTGACTAAGCCCGACTCGGCGGGAAGCACAGGGGCGGAAAACTGGGGTAAACGCCTGGAAGATAACCACGACCTTTCCGGTCACAGACCTACACTGTTATTAATTTTGGATGGAGAGTGCACTATAGTGCTTGGATTTAAAAGTAAGAAAATAGAAAAATGAGAACTGTAGTGTTTCTCGCCAGACTTCGATTTCCGGATTCAAATCTATATCGTAAACTGGCGGGGTATTTTGTACTGCTTAGAGCGGCTGATACTTCAGCCGTGGTGCCCTGCACTGGGCAAAACCCTGGCAACTGTTTGAATGTTTACAAGGAGGATGGTGATGCTGTTCGCGCCGGAAACGCCACTGCTGTGGCAGGGCTCTGTGGGTGGGGTGGAGGTCTCGGGCACTCTGATTTCACTGGTGATGGAGCACTTCTATTATAGAGGTTCCGAACTTATTGATTTGTGCCCTGCCTTTATTTTGCCTGCTTATCTTCCAACTGCTGGGGAAGAAATTCAGCAACTTCTTTCTTTATATAACAAAAGAAAATGCTGCAATTAATAGCAGGGGTTTTATCCTTATCCTTTTCTTTTATGGATTTTTTTTTTGGGGGGGGGGGGGGATTTAAATGCATTGAAAAACTTGTAGTCTTTGACTCCCAGGACTCTACCTGTTAGAAGTTAATATGCTTCCTGTTAGGGGAGCTACAGTAAATCAGTGTAGTCAGTAAAGCAGGAAGTTTTCTCACATTGTAATCCCTGAATCTTAGCCGTAAGGTTTTCTCTCTCGCCTGCAGGACATTTTGAACAACCTAGACAACCTGGAGTCATGTGACTTGGAGGAGGACGACCTCATGCTGGATGTGGATCTCCCCGAAGACTGCTCGCTGCACAGCGGTGAGTGCGCCTCGTACCCAAGGCCTTCGCTGATCTGCCGCTGTGCCTGTAATGGGTTCGGTGCTGTGCGTTTTTTATTCTGTGCGACCTTGGTTTCACTCCTCCTGCGTTGCTTGGCCGCCTTCGGCCTCTTGGTGGCAGCACACGCCCACACTTCTCTAGCAGCCCGCTGATGTATGGCGAGCGAGCGGCAGCTTGGCTGTTTCAGCGATGCTGGAGCCGCCGTCCGCGGCGGTGCCCCGCTCTTGGCACTTTTGTGAAGTGCGACCCGTAGCGGGGTTTTCAGGCTCGCGCACGTACGAGAAACGCTTCGTGAAGCGCTTTGGTGCCTTGGTGTGACCGCAGGGTGCCAGGATCGGTGGCTCAGCGGTCACACGGTGTCCCCTTTCGCAGATGCGGACAGATCGTCCTGCACGGAGGGGCCAGGCGACCCGGGGCTATGGGGGCGGTCTGGGCAGGGCCACGCCTCTGACAGGTGAGCAGACTGCGGTGTCCCTGTCAGAACCACCGGCTTGACGTGTTTGAGCCGTGCTCCTGCCCGTGTGTGCTTGCAATGTGCCTTTGCTGGGATAAGAATATATATCTGTCTACATATGTGTTATATCTGCAGTTATGTCAGTGGGGCTGGTTGGGATGATACAGGCATCACCGAGAACCTGGTAACCCATTCAGCTCTGTCTCTCTCTCTCACTGTCTCGCAGAGAATCCATGTTTCCGGAGCTCGATATCTACTCCGCACTGGGAGTGGACCAGCATGCCGGAGGCTGCGTGCCACGCTGCACCAGTCCGTCCGACGTCGAGGCGGAAGCGCTGTGGGACCTGGCCCAGGACTGCTCCACTGTCAAGGCCCAGCTGCTCCACCTGAAGGGGCTGCTACAGGTGTGTGAAGCTCCTGGGGCTACCGGCACCCGCGCACACACACACATATTCGCATGCAATAACACAGACCCACATGCAGGGGGCGCACCATCACACCCATGCAGCACAGGCTTGGCTGGGATCCAGCTCGCTGAGATTTTAAAGGAGCTGCGATCCTTCCATAAGTATGACCACATGATGTGCTTTTACCAGAGGATGGGGATGTGTAACAGAGACGCCCTCAGACGTGGGTTTGGGAATGCTGAAGTGGCCTTCGTTGACGGTCCGACTGTGTTGCTCTCAAAACACATCTGTTGATACCCTCCATCTATCGGCAGCCTTACGCCCATCTCCACCCTATATCTAAATCACTCAGGTCTCCACTTCCGCCACCCCTGGGTGTCTTCTTGCTTTAAATGCCAGGAGCCCTTCAGAGGGCAGGCGTTTCCTGCTGCGCATTCAGCCACATCCTCTTCAGATCAGGGGAGTGCACCCCGCTGCCCCCCTACACGTCGTCCTCGACCGGCACAGAATCCCAAAACCCGGCTCCTCGCTATCCTCGTGCCAGTCCGCCTCCCGACGCCGGCCCGTATCAGATCTTCCGCATAATTAGTTTTGTTTTGGTTTGGAAATGTCATTTTTAGCGGTGTAATTATTTAATGAATGTAATTGTTTGTTTTGCTTCAAGTGGTGGAGATCAGGGTAATTTCCAGCTTGAGAGTTTGACTGGAGGTGGATAAAGAAATTTCAGTGAAGTCAGGTAAAAGCGAGAGATTACATCAGTATGAGAGAACGTCAAAGTGAAAAATATGTATTTGATAGCCTCTCGATTTTGTTCAGACACATGTGGACTTGGATGGTTTTCGATAAAAACCGGCACCACGGGGGTGCTAAAACTGTGATGTCTTTCAAATCAGTTACATGAAAGTAAGACCTGTAGGTTGCTTGGAGATGTCTTTTGAAGTACCGAAGGCGATTTCATGCGACTTTTGGACGGAGGCTTTTGGGAGGACTTTGGAGTGAGGGAGGGCTTTCTAAGTTCCCCAGTGTTTTTGGTTGCTTTAGTTAACTTTGAAATGAACCTTGAAAGTTTTCGCATGTGCCAAAAATGAATAGGCTATGCTTATGATGTGATGACCTGGCGTGAAGCTTGGGGTGGGATAATGACAAAGTGGTATAGGGACCTACGGGCTGCACAGTCACCAAGAAAACACCTTCTGCAGATGTCGCCAAACGTCGGCTATGACCCCACTGTCTAAATGTCATTAAAACCTTTGACAACCGTGCCATTGTGAACTCTGTTCCCCCGCTGCCATAATGTGGAAATTGCCGTGGTAATTTTGGAAATATCCATATCTAGAGGCTGAAGTGAGTTAGCTGTTGTGTGATGCCTTCCCTACCACTGGCCCACCAAAGATTGGAGAGATCCCCCTAGTGGAGGGAGGTATGGAGTGCACACAGGGACACAGGGCGTGGTACATGGAGGTAATGGCCCTGAGAGCACACCTCCCTCAATAAATAACCATGGTGGCTGTATAGTTATTTAATTCCTCTGCCCCAGGCCTGTATATGGATATTAAAATAGGAATTAGTGAACGGTTCGGTAGAGAAAACGACATGCGTGTAATTAAAGCACCGTTGGAATGATTGCTTTGCCTTTTAATTTTGATGTGTAGTTTATATATAAGCTCTTATAATGCTCAGAGTCGTGTTCCTGCACCCATGACAAAGCAGCGAGAAGCTGCACCACTCGATCCATAATCACTTAATTGATCTTCGTCAGCTGGAACAAAATAATTAACGCGGGGGAGGAAAGTAAATGCAGTTGTTGCTGAGCGGTGCCAGAATTTCTGGCAACTTCTGAGCCCGCTGCGTGTCCCAGCAGGGCATAAGTTGCTTGTTTGGGCACACTCTGCAGGCCGTCGGCCTGAAGTGCGGCTTCCTGCGTGGGCAAGGCGTGGTTCCATGTGGGTGTCGCGTGGGTGCAGGGTGACACTGAGCTTTGGGGGTACTCTTAATGGTGATGTTTCTGCCAGTGCAGTTGTTAGAACTTGGCGCAAACCTGGTACTAGATTCTGTAGTTAATGGAGGATCACCTCTCACTCCAAGGGCCTTTTCGGTTCAGCTTGAGGCTGAACGGTTTGTGACAAGTCGCTTTGGCTTTTCGGAGAGTAATAAATGGCAGGTGGCTGTTTAACACCAATGCCGTTTACGCGTGTCGTTAAAGAGGCAGGCTTCTGGCTGCGTTTGCATCTCTGTTATGCGTCCAGTCGGCACAGAAGAGGATCCTGGGTAACGGCTTCGTGTGGATTGGAGGTTGCAGCAGCCAGCTGGTGCCGGTGATTGTAATGAGGGCGGTTTGGTTGCCTGCATGGCTCCAAACCTCCAGAGGTTGGAGGTTAGACTACATCCCGAGTCCACAGGCACATTTTCTTCCTGCCTTCATATGAAATAATACCAGGAAACTCCTTGAAAATCCTGATCTGAGTGATATAAAACGATGGATAATCGGCACGACTGGATAATTTTCGATCAGATGAAGAAACATCACAGGGAAATCAGTTCTGGGTCCGGAGCTTTCCACCAGGAGGTGCTGTGAGTCTTTCCCCCTGTGCACGAATGCGAGGGTCTGTCAGGAGGTCTGTATGTTTATCAGGAGCTGAGCTGATCGCTACCCTGGAACTCCTCTGCAGAGTGTTTTCCTTCCAGCATTTTCCGGGGCTATGCAACATACAGGATCACAGTCCAGCTCTGCAGTACCCCCCTCCCCCCCCCCCCCCGCAGATACTGCATCCCTCCATCTTTCAAACTCTTATTTTGAGCCGGATTGGCGGGGGTGGGTTTCTTGGAGCCTGTCACAGGTAGCACAGTCCACAAGCCAGAGGTACATGGGCAATTTATAAATCATAATGTGCTGATTAGCTGTGCTGGCCTGCACAGTTTTTCTATGGTGGCACATCGGTAGTCTGTCCCAAGGTGTCCTGTCTCTCACTAAACGACTGTCACGAGGACTGTTCCGGGAAAATGTTTAATGCTAATTGTGGAAATGACACTAGTCCATCAGCCTATCAATTATGTATGCTCATTTTAACTGGCAGACATTTTCATAGTAGGGGATTTATTCATGCATAATGCAGGGTCCCTCCACTGCGTCCTCAGCTGCCGTCCTTCTTTTGAAAGGCCTGATATTCCTTTGTGAACTATGGAGGTCTTTGTGGCTTTAATTGGCTCCTTGACTGTGGAGACAGGGCTCAGGTGTGGTGGGCCTAAATGGCGGCTGTTTTGGCGCAGTGCGAGCGTGACTCTGCAGCACCCTGCCTTCGGCTCTCCGCCCACCTCCTTGGTCGGCGCACAACAACTGGAGGGTCAAGATCTGGTCGTCAAGGCCGGGAGGGAATGCCACCAGGACGCCCAGCAAGACTGCAGTGGCTGCAGTGGAGAGGACGTGAATCTGTATTTAGGAATGGGGACTAGTTAACGCACAAATCACATGACCCCTACTGAGCGCTCACTGGCTGCAGACAGAGCCCCCTACCCTCCGTCCCTGTGACACCCTCTTACGGATTGTACCCCTGTTAGAAGAACAAACATGTGCGTGTCTGTTTTCAGACTCTTAAGCTGTCCTCTGGATGCTTCCCTCCAGCTGGCATCATCAATCAGGGTCCTTGGCCTGAGGAGAGATGGATTGCTGCTCCCACTGTTCTCAGAAGCATCTAGAAGTGTCCTGGCGGGCCCCCAGGGACTCCATGTTCTTTTTCACCACATCAAAAGGGATCATTTTATATGTTCATACTGCCATCCTTAACCCTACAATCCAGTGCTACTCTGTGGTTTATGTGCTTTAAATTGCCCTTAATATCCTCACAACCTTTCACTCATGGTCCAGTCACTAATGGCGAGGCTTCTGAACATGAAATGGCGGTTCGCGCCATTGCTGCTCTGTGGTGGGCAGGGGCGGGACCACAGGGGCACCAGCTGAAAGCTGATTGGCCCCCGGAATGCCCCTTCCCCTGTCACTCACTGATTCAAAGCATATCATTGGTTGCCCCCCCCCCCCCATTCGAATTGTAATAAGCTATAATAGGCTCAGTGCATCACATGCCTCTTGTCACACGTTGATTTACTCGCAATATCAGGATGTCAGGGCCTGATTTGCACACTGGTGGTGCTCTCTGCCTACATTAAAATCCAGAGAGTTGCTTACCGCTACAAACCCAGATCTATTAACATCTGTTTGCTTAACTGGGAAGCCGCAAGTTCGACACAGACCGAAATATTGATTTAATCTTCATGTTATTAACGAGGGTGTAATCACACACATGGAGGGGGTAGAGAGGTTTAGTGGAGCGTGACGCAAGGGGGGGGGTTAGCGGCTGGCACCAGAAGTCGGGTTCGATTTCCAGCCTCCATCTCATTTCTCTTTCTCTGTCTTCTCTCCCCCCCCTATTCAGAGTGAGGCTGAGGACACAATACAGGAGGCCTTGCAGTCAGATGCCCAGAGTCAAGAACCAAATAAAGACTCCAGTGCTGCCTTCCAGGTAAGGCCACCGTTCCCTCCGCGCCGCAGTGCACCGGAACCTGCCGTGGTCTGTTTTTGGCTGCCTGCGTCCGAGAGTGAAGGGTTTGGGTTTTGCTGGCTCGGTCCTGTGGCCCCCCCGCCCCGTTTGTGGGAGGTGCAGGAATTGCTCCGCTGTCCCGGGGGCTCTCGGGGATGAGTCAGCGAGCCTCTTCCCCTCCAATCTCCCTGACGACAGCGGGACAGGGCCTGCCGTCTCCCTCCCCCATCCACGGGAGTGACACACGTGTTATATATTCCTCCTCGTGAGCTGGCGAACATCAGTCCTTGAAGGAGGAATCTCACCCGTGTGACTCGGAGGTGGCGGCAGCCTCTGGGGCCCCTTGGGAAGGCTGTGGTGTCGAGGAGGCCAGAGCGTGTGGTGACCGGCGCCGCCCTAGTGGGCTGGGCCTCATTAAAGCTGCATGCAGCATTCGGTCGGGGTCCCTTATATGACCCACCCTGCGCTTACCCCATCTCCATTGGGACTGGCACTGGGGTCCCACAGTCCAGGGGAGCTACAGCTACTGGGCCCACTTCCCTTCAGCAGTGATAAACCTAACAGGGGGGAGAGGAGTCTTTGAAACCTGCCATGGGCAGAATCGCCCAGGGACAGGGCTGCTGTAATCGGTGCCGTTGGGTTAAAGTGGACAGTGATGGAGAGTGTGCGGTAATGTGCCCCCCCCCCCCCCCCCCAAGCCACGCTTCTGATAAGACCTGGTACGGGTTCTGAGCGCTGAAGAACAGCTGCCGCAGAGGTATCTGTCACGGAGCCGCGGGCTCTCGCTAAGGTGCCTGCCTTTGTGTGACATTTCTGTGCCAGGTGGAGGCGCTGTTGAGGGAGGTTCAGGAGCTGCGGGAAGAGCTGAGGAGTAAAGAGGAAACCATCTCGCTGCTGACTCAACAAACGGTGAGAGATCTCAAGCGGAATGTTCCAGGGAAAGCCTTGTAACTTGTTTTTCTGTAACTAAGCTAATGGTCAGGTATCCCCTGAAGCTGGATACAGTGTTCAGCACAATTAAAATAATTACTGAGTGGTGTTAAGCAGCTAGCGTTCATTTCATTACATAACTGTTACGGGATATTTAAGGTTGTGCTGCTAGACAGAATCGAACTACCCAAAAAATACGTATTTTGTGGACTGGATTTCTTTGGTTTTTTTAAAAGCTGTTCAAGGTTTTTTTCAGCGTTTTGTGAGAGAGACGGCCAGGCCTTTCCTGTCCTGTGATTACCGTGAGTCTTCAGAGATCTCCTGAGAAGACTGGGCTTGCAGAGAATGGGGAGTTTGGGCCATCATAGTGGATTTTCCAGTGGTTTAACTGCAGAAAGACCTTATGAATGCATTTCCATGTGTCCCTGTTGTCAGTGCAGCCTGCTCTTGAATCTACCTGGAACGTTTTGGCTTTGATGTGAATAACCTCCTTCTGCGTGACTCAATACTGCGTTACCAGGCTCCTGTCCTATCTGCCCAGCTCCTGTCCTATCTGCCCAGCACCTGGCCCGGCCGCGGCCCGCTTCGCTCCGTTCCAGTCGGCTCATTAGCTAATGGTGCCTCCCCCGCCATGAGCTGGCCACTGTTCTGTCCTCCAGGCACAGCCCGAGCGCCGGAATGTTCTGCCACCGCCGCTGCCAATAGGCTGTTAGGGCTGTGCCTGCACGCTCTCGAATCTCGGGTTGTGATGGTCTGGGGGGGGGGGGTGCATTCACCTGAGCATGATGGTTCTGCTCAGACCTGCAAGCCCCCCCCCCCAGAACATCTATTAATGAAGCGCCTGAGAGCTTTAGCGCTTTAACATCTGCATCTACCGTATGGTGAAGGAGAAGAAGCGTAATGCCCCAAGGGGACATAAAGAGGAATTAAAGTCACCTTAAATTTACGTTAGAACACGCCCTGGTGTGAAGTTCAGCAGAATAGAGGAGTTCGTCCGTCGGTACCTTGCACTGAGGGTAACATTACAGGTTACAGACCGGCCCTTGGCACCCATGGCCTTCTGGGAAGACACTGGGCGGTTGTTGCAAAAATCTGTTCGCTCTTTCACTCAGTTGCGGGGAAAATACGAGGGAAACCTTCATTACTTTATTTCCCTATTTCCTGGTATATTAAAGCAGGGAGCTCGGGCACGGCCTGAATCTCCCAAAGTCCTTTGTCTCTTTATTCATACAGCCTGTGCCCTTCTTTGTGCTTTCTTAGCTTTCTTAGTATTTCTGTAGTTTTGAGCTCGGCGAGGGATGCACATCTTTTTCATTCATAGTGGCCAAAGTCTCTTGTTGGCTGAATGTATATGATGTATGTAATGCCTCTAATGTCATCATGCTGCTCCTCCGCTTCCTGGTCTCCTCATGTCACCCCTGGATCTATGATCGCGTCTCTCGCCCCTCCTGATGTGACGGAGCTCTCCTTAAGCCCTCTGTAGCGGGTCGAACGCCCTGTCAGCAAGAAGTCACAAGTTTGATCCTTGTGTTTTTTTTTTATTCACCTGCTTCCGGAGCCGTGAGATTGGAAGCTTTCTGTCTGTGTCGTGATTCGCCCGCCCTGCCCGGGTACTCAGCCACCCTATCCCTTCGCAAGAGGACCTCTGGCCGTACGAGTGGCGCTCCTGATTGGTTGCGGTCCAGCCGTGCTCAGACACCTTACCCTCTGTATCTCCCACTTTTCTTTTTCTTATGAAAATGTACATGGAGCTACTTCAATAACGTCTGGTCGAGTCTTCATCCCTCAGCAGCTGTAATTGATTGATGTCATTTCCTCTGCAGGCCCCTCCCTCCAGCTGGGAGGAGGTTTGAGAGCTAAACATAACAAGCTGCGGCGAGTGGCTCCGCGAAGCCGAACCGCCCCACCGCGTGTGGCCCTGACGCAGCCATCTATGCCTCTGTTTCTGCAGTCTGCGTCTGTGCAAGCCGGCGGGTGCACGTGCCGGAGGAGAGACTCCGGAGAGAGACGGAGCAGCAGCGACAAGGCCACGCAGACGCCCTGGACGCGGAGTGTGGTGAGGCCCGTTTCTCGTCTGAATCAGTCCGAAAGTGCCGACAGGTCCCAGGGACCCGCTGACAGCTCCGCCCTGAGCTTAATCAGAGGTGCTTGATCAGAATCGCTACAGTGCTTCCTCTGTAAATTTGTGACAGTGGCTCACTTCAACCACTACGCCCCCTGGCTGTCTGAACTGGGATTCCAGGTTTCATACCCGCCATGCCGTTGGCTGTGTGCAGCATTGAGGCCCATGCTGGGGTGGGGGTGAGGCGCCCACGTTTCTGGATCTTCAGAAGATCTGTCTCGGCACCTGCTGGGCACCTCCTGGGCCGTGGGTGTGAAGCAGTGGCGGGCGGTCTCCACCAGGGGGCGCCCTCCTTGTGGTGAGATGGTCCCAACTGGTTTCAATGCCACTGGGCCTGGCTCGTAGAGTGGGGGCGGATGGGTGCATTGCGAGGCAACGGCAAGTAAGATGGCTGCAGTACCCAAAGACTTCCGGGCCTGTTTAATCGTGACGAGAGGCCTTTTTTCTAGCTGCCTCTGTGTTTCTCCCCTTATTGTGCTTTTTGTAAAGCCCCCCCCCCCTTTATCTTCACAGCTGCGATTCAGAAGAAGCCGCGTAAAGGAGAGGGGAAATTGGTCACGCTCCGCGGCCCCATTTGCTGCACACCTGAGTGGGACGATAAAGTTCCCCCGGACAGGTGTTGGTATCAGGGTGGGGGGGGGGTGGACGCTCTGCCAGCGAACGGCAGATAAGGCACACGTGCCCCGAAACAGCACACGGCAGCTGGGGGCTGGCTAGAGAATCTGTGGGCCGCTAATTGAATTCCACTGCGCTTAGAAGGGGGTGCCACGAACGGCATGCGGAGATAAGTCGGGGAAAGTTAAATTAAAGCGTGGCATCTGCTTTTTCCGTGTTTCTCAAGCCAGGCGTCCGTCTGTCCCGATAACGGTCGCCACGTGAATGGAGCACCCCCCACCCCCGCTGTTTAGTTCCACCAAGCCGTGCGCGATGGGGAAGTAAGCCTGCATATCTTTTTGCCTTTGTCTCAGATAATGAACAAGTCGGAATGGGTAAACAAGGCGGTTCTTGCTCCAGAATGTTCCTCTGAAGGCCTTCAATTCGCTGGGCTTGTCAGCGGGATGCATCTCGCTTGCCCCCCCCCCCCCCCCCCCCCCCCCCCCCCACCATCACCCACCACCACCGCCTTCGGCCCAGAGCATCACAGATATTCCTGTCCCTGACATTTTTGCTGATCCGAGGCCTCCGGTTTCCCATCGGAAGGTGAAAGAGGGGCCTGCTTCCGCCACATGGCCGGACCGTTCCCTGCGTGCCGTCTGGGAAGCAGACTGCATCTCCCCCGCTGCCGAGGTTCTGGCTCCGCACGCGCTGCTTAGCGCCAGTCTGATATTCAGGAGAAACGGCCGGTGACATATTCCTGCTGCTGGTCACAGACGCCCACATCGTAGACACTTAATTTAATGTCAACCGCTTCACTAACCGCTTATGGCCAGCATGATGTGGAATGTAATGTAAATATAACATAAGCGATAAACTGCCACTTTCACAAGATGAGCTGCTGGTGTTACTGGGGTGATTAATTGTGTCCATTCCATGTGCGTGAGGATACAGTTCAGTGTATATATAAATAGTTCTCGCCATTCAGCATCTTTACTGTGGTTCCAGGGTCTGTGCTTTTGTGACCGTGTCCCTTGCGACGTACGTTAGAGTGCCAGGTGCTGTACGCTCTGCTGCTGGGACGTGGGCCGACCTGCCTGAGGTCCAGCAGCATGCGATAGCTGCCGATCGCATGTTAGTCTGTTAGTCTTGGCTGTATTATGAGCATTGTCTGCCTGTGGCTTGGTTAGTAAAGACGGTTAGACGGCTGTAGACAGTAGAAGTGACAGAAAATGGCCAAGAAGGACCCCAGTGGATTCGGTGTCCAACTCCAAGCCAGTGGTGCTAATGGTGGCGCTCGTACAGCTTGCTTCTGGAAGGCTGTAAATGATGATCCGGGGTCAGATCTTCCAGAATGCCTGTGGACCTCCTCGGAGCTTGGCCTGACTTCCTACAGCCTCCGACAAGATGATGAGACCAGTCAGGAGTAGCACAACGCTTCCCTCTGGCTAGAAACTGTAATCTTTGGAAATATTTATGGAAGTATAGAATGGTTGCGTTTTTTTGCATCACCTTCTGGGGAAAGAGGAGAAAACAAACATGCTGTATGAGAAGCGCGATGAAGTGGAAAGCAGCCTTCAGTGATGGGTTAAATAAGTGCATTGATGGTATTAGCAGCCATAATGTTAAGCATTTGGGCTAAAGGCACGGTGATGGCATGCACATGTGCACAAGCATCTCCTCCTGTAAGCTCCTCCAGCGTCTGAAGGCATGGGTGGAGGAGTAGAGGAGGCGGCCGCTCGCTTCCCACATTCTGCCCCCTCCTCACCTCCCCAGCAGGTGGCGCTCTAGCCAGATGGCTGTCAAGCAGGGGGTTGAACATAATCACGTTGTTCATGGAGACTCGCGGCCTCGTCCATGCAGGAAATCGACTGCAGATCTGGGGGGGGGGCTTAGGAGAGGCGCAGCCACTTTTGCCCTCCAAGCCTGCATTTGCCCAATTTGAGGATCCTGACAGAACTACCTAGGAACAGATTATGACGACTGTAGCTCCTTCTCCCTTGCTCCTGCACCCCTGGAGAGATCCTCCATTCACTCCCCCTGCTGTGATTACTGTCTGGCTTCTCCTCTGATCTGGGCCATCGACGTCAGGCCCCTTTTCTTGTGTCTTTGCTGGGAGACGGGTGTCCGTGTGACAGGCGGGGTGCCAGCGATGGGTGAGGAATGAGGAAGGTCAACAGGATCGCAGTATCTGTCTGCGGTGCCGACCAACGTGGGTGTGTTATAAATATTGTCAGGCTCACGGTGCTAACTGACCTTAGGTCTCTCTGGCACCCAACTGAGCGAATAAACCTCACAGCAACTCTTCTGACGCCTTATTGTCTCTCTTCGTTACATCAACCAGCACAAATGGTACTTCTCCATACTCTGCTCCAGGGACAGCATTGTTGGAGCTTCAGCCTGTCTAGTGCTCGTGTTGGCAGTGCTGTTGGGTCTATTTTGCCACCCTCAGCGTCATGCTTATAAGAAAGTCTGACGCCTAACCTCCCGCTTCCTGTCTTCATGCCCTAGCCCCGCCCAGCTCTTCCTCACTCTGACCTTTACCCTTAAAGCTGTCAGCCTGACTCTACCTCAGCCTCGTCTAGCTTAAGTCTGCCCCAGTTTTCTTCACTTCTCTGTGGATCTGTAGGGCTGGAGGTCTGGTAGCTTCTCTAAAAATGTACCCGTCCCACACTGTCATGGTGGGATCAGCTGTGGGTCTCTCTCAGTCTCTCTCTCTCTCTCTCTCTGTCTCTCAGTTTCTCTCTCTCTCTCCTCTTTGTCTGTCTCTGTCCTCTTTCTCTCTCTTTTTATTTCCTCCCTCTCTCTCCTCTGTCTTTTTCTGTCTCTCTCTCTCTCCTGTCTGTCTTCCCTCTCTGTCTCTCTCTCTCTCCTGTCTGTTTCTCTCTCTCCTGTCTGTTTCTCTCTCTCTCTCTCCTGTCTGTCTCTCTCTCTCTCCTGTCTGTCTTTCTGTCTCTCTCCTCCCTCTCTCTTTCTCTGTCCTCTCTCTGTCTCCTTCTTTTCCTCTGTCCTCTCTCTCTCCGTCCCTCTCGTCATCTGTGTTCTCTCTGCGCAGGGTGTGCTGCCTGTCCCCCTCTTGTACCCCTGGCAGGGCTTGTACCAGGGGACCCCCCAGGCCTTCGTGCCTCACCGCCAGCAGAGTGAGTTACCCGTGCCGCCCCCTCTCACCCCCCCTGCCCCATTACCGCCTGGGTGTTGCAGTGCCACCCACCTGCCCACGTGATGGCTTGCTTGCCCCCCATCCCCCCCACCACTCTGTATAGCCCTTGCTCTATTGGTCGCCCTCGTCCCCCCCCCCCCCCCCCCCCCCCCCCCCCCCCCCCCGCCCACATACCACTGTCCTTCTTGTGCCAGTGCCCCTTATTTTTAGTGAAGGATCACACTGATGTCCATATCTATTCGGTAAAAGCAACAAAAAAATCCTGCTTTTTGTTAAAATCGAGGAAATATCTCTGGTCTCAAAAGAAAAAAGGAATCCGATTTGCTCTAAGAATCTCAGAATGACAGTACAGGCACTCCTACACACACGTATACGTGGGAGTTTTCTCATGATTATATCGATACATGTAAATTTCCATCTGAGTTGAAAAGGGCTGTTGTCCGCCCCCCCCCCCCCCAATTCACAGCACATGATGCACTTTCTCCTGGGACATCCCTCCACAGGACGTCTGGGACACAGTGCCCGCAGCATCGCTCAGTCTGGTGGGGGCATGGCACCCTGCCCCCTGCCCGCTTGTCACAGATCTCTGCCCTGCATGTGTGTATATGAGGGGGCTGCTTAATTGTACATACTGGAGAGAGTGCAGAGGATTTTGGTCAACGTGGACTACTGTTTGTGTGTGTGTGTGTGTGTGTGTGTGTGTGTGCGCGTGTGTGTGTGTGTGTGCGCGTGTGTGTGTGCGTGTTGTCATTGAGTGTGTCTGTGGATTTGCCACAGTTTTAACATGCAGATGCGGTCTACATTAGCACCAGGCACTGATATCTGTGTGACTGAGCTTTCCTGTTTCTCTCCCTCTCTGCCTACGTCTCCCATAATGCCTTGGGAAAGAAGTGGAGCATCTAGTGCATTACTTCCGCGATAAAGCGTGGTACAGTACTGTTTTTTTTTTTTCTCCACTTTTGTCTACCACCATCCCTATCACAACCTCCACCCCACCATCACGCCCTTTGCATGACCCTGGGGGGTGTCCATTGCTGCCCCCCCCCCTCCCGTGTTTGAAGGCCAACATTGGGCCCACTTTGCTCTTGTCTACTGTATCAAGCTCACACCATCTTCCCTCAGACTACCTCTCTCCCCTGCCAGTCTCCCCCAGTAGTGCAGCACCATGCTGTCCATCTAT